GTCCAGACCCTTTCGCAAAAGCTTTAGTAATGACCGATATAGATGGAAAATGAAATAATCGCCAGAAGAAGAAGAGGAGGAGGAAGAGGGAAAGAAGGGAGGAGGGCGGGGTGGGGGTGGGGGAGAAGAAAAACAAGAGAGAAGAAAAGGAAAGGAGGCCAGCATTGAAAGAGCCACGTTTGAGGAAGTAGAGGTTTAAAGCCCTGAGGATCTTCTTGTCCTAGAAGGCTGCAGCCTAGCACAGAAAGACCAGTACAGATTCGGAGCGCCTGGCTGGTCCTTCCCGCGCAGTTCACCTTGAGGAAGCAACCTTGTCCATCTCTTTCTCTCTTGCCCCCAAGTCTTTCCTTCTCTCCCACGTGCCAGACACTGCTTACACAAAGATGGACAGGAGATGGGCTCCACCCCTAAGAAAGTGTTGAACAGAAGGCAGACTTATCAGCCTGGGACGCAGGTGTTGCCCGGAGCAGTAGGAGCTCAAGGGCTGTGACTAGCTCTGCCAGAGGCATCAGGAAAAGCTTCAAAGAGGTGATATTTATGCTGGGTTTTAAGAAAGAAATAAGAGTTTCGCCAGGATGTGAATAGGAGGAATGGAATTCCAGGCAGAGGGAACAGCCTGGGCGAAGCCCAGAGGTATGAGACTGCAGGGCTTTGGAAGAGGAAGTTCGCAGTATTTGGAGATAGGAACAAAGAGTGGGAAAAGATTTTCCAGCAGACAAGTGGGGAACCATCGAAGATTTTTCACCACGCGAGGGGGATGGCCAGGGCTGTGTCCATCTCAATCTACCCTCTCTTACAAAATCTTGTGCTTCTTCCTGGTTGGAACTCACCAGACCTCCCAGAGCCCAGCCATTGTGTCTAGGTCTCTAGCCTGAGGGAGGTGGCCAGGTTCCAGCTGTTGGTAGAATTGTCATGACTGACCACTTGTGAGCATCAGTGAATGCAAGCGTTCCTTCCAGGCGTTAGTAATCCCTCCACCCACTTCTAGAACTTTCTGGGAGGATCATGTAAAAACCCACCTAGGAGAGGGGAGGTGCAAAAGTCCTTTCCCAGTGGGACAGTGATTATTTTGTTCTGTTTTAAAATAATCTTCAAATTTCCATATAGGCCTCTGTTTCCTTATTTGCAATGCCAACATCCAAATAGCCCTGAAAAAAGTTGTTTTTTTCTTTCTCCCGGAACTCACTTGGCGACAAAATGACCTGAACAGATGTGAGACTATTTATAGTCTCTATTGATTCACTTGGTGTGAATTTTCATATTCCGCTGCAGAAATACCAATGTGCTTGATTACAGGGTGCTGCCCCAGACCCCGCTGGGGGGATTATGTAATTATGTGGCATATGCCTCATGTTACCTTTCTAAAATAAAGTTAGGGGCAAGAGCCAGGGTTCCAAAACCAATATGGCCTCGTAGATAAAGGAAACGTGAGCCTGTCCTACTTTTCGTAAAGATGACATTTCAAACACAGTGGACCGGAAACGATGGGGGATAGCCCTCCTCCGTTTCTCCGTGCTCTGCTGTGACCGTTTTAACCCCCTTCCACCTGTCTGAACGTGCTGACTTCACACGAGTTGGCCTTCTGCTTTACAGGGTGAACAGAGCCACCAAGACGTTGGGCCCTGTGCTGACAGCTCAGAGCCTGCTTTGGATTCTGTGTCTCCCCCTCTCTCTCTGCCCGTCCCCCACTCACGTTCTCTCTCTCTCTTAAAAATCAAAATTTAAATTAAAAAAAAAACAAAAACAAGATAACAAAAATTCAGCACTTCGTTGATGGCCTGAACTGCCATCTTTCTCCTTCCGTTCCAAGGCTAGCTTCTCCCGGGAGTCGATTATCTGCTTTGCCTTCATGTCTTCCCCTCTGCTTCTCATTTGTCCTGGCTTCTACTTGACTCTGGCCGCGTCGCTTCCTGAGCAGCTCCGACCGAGCCCACCCATGACCTGCTCACCATAGCACATTTCTCTCAGTAGCCTGGGTCCCTCCTCCAGTCAGGCTGTGACCTCCGGAGACAGCCCTCTCTTGGGCTTCCTCCCGTCTGGGCTGCTGCACCTCCTGTCCTTCCCGCTTTGCTACATTGAACTTGGACATGTTGCTCCGGCCCCTGGCTTGCTTCCTCTCCCTCCCCCGGTGACACCTTCAGTTCCTTCCCGCACACCTGCCCCTCACGAGTTGTATCTCTGGCTCAGCCTCTCTTCTCTGGACCCCAGACTCACTTGTCTACCTGCCCGCTCTACATCTCCTCTTGGATATCGTAAAGACACATTAAAGTCAACATTTCTACAGCTGATGTCTTGATCTGCACTCTTACAACCCCATCATGACCTGCCCCTTTTCCTCGGTGCCCATCTCCGCCCCCTCAGGTGCACAGGACAGAAGCATGGCTGCCATCTTGGCATCGGGCTCTGCAGCACCCTGCCCCCCATCTCCGGTCCATGTCGAAGGTCGCTTGGTTTTTCCTGCTGAAATCGCTCCACCCTGACCCTGGGCAAAGCCATCAGTACCCTGCCTGGACCCCACAGGCACTTCCTAGCCAGGCTGCCTCATTGGCTCTGGTTTCTGTTAGAAATGCATGTCTGATCACTTCCATCCTCCTCCACGCCCCTTAGAGGGTTTCCCGGATTAAGTGCTTTCTTAGGATCCCTCTAAGACCTTCCATCTGACTCCTCTGCACCCCCCCCACCCCCTCCTCACCTGTACTTCTCCCACTTCATCCTTGCTGCTTCAGGCAGCCTGGCCTCTTGTGGTTCACACACCCTCCTCTGTCCTGCCTTGCCTGGGGCCTCTGCACATGCATACACTGTTCCTCTGCCAGAATGCTATTCCCTCCCCTCTTAGCCTTACTGTCTACCTCTCAGATGTCCATTCAAGGATCCCTTTGGGGGAAGCTGTCCCTGGCCTTCTGACTGACTCAGTCCCTTCCACCCCCAACCCCAGCAGAGGGTCCTGGCCTTCACAGCTTTTGTCACATTTGCAACTTACCATCTTTTGGGGGCTCATTTGACAATTAGAATGTCAGCTCCACAGGAGCTGGGACCTTGCCTGCTCTTACTCTCTTACTGTCTATGGCTACCCACACCTAGCCCAGCCTGGCCCCCAGTAGGTGTTCCATGTTTGAAGGAAGAGTGACTGCATTGCCATATTCACAGGGAGGCCGCAAAGCAGTACCATTGAGTGTGCAGAGACAGGGAGGGGTTGGGGACGGTGTCACCTTATGGAAGTCGGGTACTGTTAGCCCCTTAAAGTCTGGGTTCTGGGCTTTCTTGGTGGACCAAAGATGACTTTACTTTGTGCGAGGTGGGGGCCTCTCCCCTAGAGCGCACATACTCGCCGGCCAGGCTCTCTGTGTACACGGACCCCGAGGCCTCTACTCCCGTTGTCCTCCTCTTCCTCCTCAGCCTGGGGTGAGGCTGGGGCAAGCCTGGGGTCCCTCCCCCAGCCCTCCGAGCTTGCCAGCCTCTTCTCAGCCAGTGGAGTGAGCCAGGTGGTCCGCTCAGCCTAGGGAGCTGCCCAGGTGGAGGGCGGATGGGCCTCTATCCTGGGCGTCAGGGCTGTAAGGTAGTGCTGGGTGGACCTTCAAGTCCAATGCCTCAGTGTGCACACAGGGAATGGACTTAGCCACAGGCACACAGCGAGGGGTGGCCGGGACAGGACCAGATCGGGCTTGTGCCTGCAGGGATAGCAAACCCTCTAGAACCTCCTTGCCTCCTCGGTCACTTGGGTCGACCTCAGCAGCACAGGTGCCGGAAGGTATGGTCTGAGGGGAGCTAGGAGGCTGTCAGGGGCCAGTATCCGAGCATCTGTACTCGAGTAACTCAGAGCAAGTAATTTTCGCCATGGGGTGTCCATTTACTCTTTCAAAATGTGAACAGTAATTCCTGCCCCTCATCAAAACAAACAAAAAAACCAAAAAAACCCCAAAAAACCCTCTCCCGACCAAGTCAGAGGCACTTTGTCAAGATTAACTTGCTATTTATTTACCAGGCGTTCCTTGTTGCTGCACATCTGATCCTCACAACCACTGTGGGAGGGATACTCTATTACTGTTCCCATTGTTCAGATGAGAAAACCGAGGCTCATAAAACAGGCACTGTCACTTTCCTAAGCCTTCTCAGCTATTTACAGATGGGAGTCAGGCTTAGGCCTGGGTCTGTCTAACTCTATAGCCCCGTGCTGGTTCCCAGCTATGGTCCTTGTCTTGAGGAGCAAACAGTAAAAGGAAGATGGATATGAAAAGCACTTTGGGAATTGCCCCATGCCCTCTACAGGCTGTTGTGGTTCAGGGTTCCATCAGGTCTCAGGGCAGATGGAGGGTCAGGAAGGGGGTTTCCCCTCTCTAGGAAGTATCTGGGTTTCTGTGCTTCAAGTTGGTTGGGTGGGAGGGGGGAAGGGTCTTTCTGTGACCTAGAACATGTAAAAGTATAAGAATGAACATTGGGCCCTTATTTTTTTCTTGGGAAAGGGAGATCAGGTGGGCAGGAGGGAGGAGCTGGTGTCCTTTTTCATGGTTTGAAGTGGAGAAGGTATCAGGGAAATATTGATGTTCTCAGTTCTCTAGTGCTGTTGTGCAGGTTGTACACTGCTCAACTCTAAGAGGCACCATTCACACTCTAGTCCGAGTGAATGGCCCTCCCTAGAGCTATGCACCACGCATCATACCTAATGGCCCTGAAGATATTCCTCAGTATAATAGCTCCATGGTAAGCAAAGATGACAGTTCAAATGAACTGAGAAGTTACTGTGTAAGCACACAGCATTTATTTTATCTTACTTAAGCCTCACAACAATCCTCTAAAGTTAGTGCTCTTGTTATCTGTGCTGCACACTTAGGGAGCTGAAGCTCAGAGGGGTTAGGGGAATGCCCAAGGTCACACAGCCACAGCTTTCCCACCATGCCACGTGGCCTCTGAACTCCGGTGAGGCCAAGGAAGGGGCTGAGGTGGGAACTCTACTGTGCGTGAATAAAACCATCATCTGTGTGTCTCTCGTCCTCCCCCCACAGCTGGACAAGATGCTGGACCCGCAGGTGTGGCGGGAGGCAGCCACCCAGGTCTTCTTCGCCCTGGGGCTGGGCTTCGGGGGCGTCATCGCCTTCTCCAGCTACAACAAGCAAGATAACAACTGTCATTTCGATGCTGCGCTGGTGTCCTTCATTAACTTCTTCACCTCGGTGCTGGCCACCCTCGTGGTGTTTGCCGTGCTGGGCTTCAAGGCCAACATCATGAACGAGAAGTGTGTGGTCGAGTAGGTGACATCGCTGCTGCTGTCCTTTCCTCTCCCCGCCCACTTCATCCCCGCTGGGCAGGTGGGCTCTGGATGGAGAGCCCCCGTCCTCCCGGGCTGATGGCTGGAGATCAGAGGAGCTCTGTCCGTCCCTGGCCCCAATCCCAGGGACGGGTTCAGAGATATCTCTGTCGATGGCCTGTGGGAGAGCCCTGCCTGGTCTCTGGGAGGTGCCTCCAGGACCGTGACTTTTTTACCTGCCTTTTTACCTGCCTTTATCCCTTTCTGTGCTGCAGGAATGCCGAGAAAATCCTGGGGTACCTCCACAGCAACGTCCTGAGCCGGGACCTCATCCCTCCCCATGTCAACTTCTCACACCTGACGGCCAAGGACTACACGGAAATGTACAAAGTCATCATGGCCGTGAAGGAGGACCGCTTCTCAGCCCTGGGCCTTGACCCCTGTCTCCTGGAGGACGAGCTGGACAAGGTGTGAGGCAGGCTGCCCTTCCTGGGGTGGGCACGGAGGCATATGGGGGAGCATGGGACCCAGAGACTGGCCAGAAGTGTCAGGCCTCAAAAAGCCGCCAGGGACTCATTCACTCGCTTGATGAGCCAGGACCTACAATGTGTCCAGGGAGAGAGAGAGGAAAAGGATCAGCCAAACCCCTGCCCTGAAGTACGTTGTCTCGACGAGGAGGCAAGGCATGCACACCCATCCCCGAACTCACAGGAATCGTGCACAGTGGCTTTCGGATGCATTGCACGGGTTTCCTGTGCTTGGGTCATGGTCATAAGCGGTGCACTTGCAACAGTGCTTTGTATGCGGCTCACAAAAAAGAAGCCCTTCTGGTCCCTTGGGCCCTCACGGCGGTGCTAGGAGTTGAGTGTTAATATGGTCCCCGATTTTGCAGCTGTGTAGCCTGTAACTTGGGTGCTCGCTCAAGGTCTCACAGCTAGCAAGGGAGCCGGGGTTCAAGTCCCCATGCTCTGAGCCATTCCTCTATGCTTCTGTTCCCCTACCCGGCTGTCCCCACTCACTGCCGCAGGGAAACTTAGTCCCTGGGGCAGAGCAGGGGGCTACCGCTCCCTCATCAATGCTCAGGCCCAAGTTTGGACACCTTGCTTCTATTCCCATTTGCACAGCTGGAAACTTTCAAATTGACTGTTCTGTTAGTAGGGGTGACAGGAGAGAGACATGCCCCCAGGTTCTTGGGACCCAACTTGTGCCAAGGTTTCCGTGGGGCAGAGCCAGCTCCTTTCAGCCTAGGCCAGCTCTGCCCGTCTTCGTGAAACTAGGGAAGGTGAGCTGTCATTGTCCTGATGTTAAGTCAGCTGCATGCTACTGGCCCCGTACTATGCCAAGGGAGCCGAGTCCTGTACCCCCTGCCTCTTGTCCCATGATCGAGAGCAGAGGATCCAGTCTGGGGACCCCTGCCCTGATTTCTGCCCCAGGAGACTGGCAGTATGAAGGACCTCCCCCCTCCATGAGACCCTGCCCCATCCTCATGGGCATGGCCCGGTCCTCTGAATACAACCAGGATTTTAGCCATTTTTTTCTTATACAATTGGACGCCTATAACACCCAAATGACAAGAATTACACACACAGTGGGGGAGGTGTTTCCCCACAATCACAGGTCCCTACAGGACAGCATGGCAGTGATGTCAGTGGACAGGGTGTGGTCACTTGCCCATGAGCAGGGGCCCAGGCATTAATGCAGTGGCTGTCTACCTTGGCTACTCATCAGAGTACCCTGGGGGCTCAATAAAAGCCACACAGCCAGCTTTTACCCCCAGATCAGTCAGATGATTGTTTCCAGGGGGAATACTCAGGCGTTGGTGTTTTAAATGCTCCAAAGTGGTTCCATTCGGCATTTGAGGCTAAGCCCACTACCTTGAAGTCCGGAGCTCAGAACTGGAGCCCCCATAGCTGTGGCTGGAGCCATCAGGGAAAAGTTCTTAGCAGAAGAGGGTCTCAGGCTGGGCATATTTCTAAACGTGAGTGTCTTCATCTCAATCACCTGGCGTCCCTATACAGCGTGTAGCTTCCGGATCCCACAGCTGAACTTCCCGAATTGGTACCTTACTCCCTGGGGTAGGGGGGATTCTGATGCTCACTCAACCTTAAGACCTCCTGGCCAAAGACAAGAGCATTTAAGTGAGGGCAGGGATTCTGTCAAAGAGGGAATCGTTATTCTTAAAGCTCCAGGGGCAGAGATAAGGAAGCAAGGGGCTCCTAGACATGGTGTGGGCCCCACTGAGCCCTCACCCTCCACCCTACCCCCAGTCTGTGCAGGGCACAGGGCTGGCCTTCATCGCCTTCACTGAGGCCATGACGCACTTCCCGGCCTCCCCGTTCTGGTCTGTCATGTTCTTCCTGATGCTCATCAACCTGGGTCTGGGCAGCATGATTGGGACCATGGCTGGCATCACCACACCTATCATCGACACCTTCAAGGTGCCCAAGGAGATGTTCACAGGTAACGCCTCCTGGTGGCCCCCTGGCCTTGTGGCTGCCCTCAAGGACCAGCATGAGGTTGTGCCTCTGACTCTGGAAAGACTCCCTACTGAGAGGGCTCCCCGGCGGCCCGCACTGGGCTGCCGCGGGGGCCTGGCTTGCCACCCGGAGGAGAGCACTCAAGAGCCAGGAGAAGGCTGTTTGGGAAGCTGTGACAAACCTGAGCTGGGGGATGGCCTCTTTCTTGGGTCGTGTCTCCCTTCCCTGAGGGCCTGTCGAGTCCTCCTGCGGGGGCCGGGGGGCGCCCTCCATGCTAGCCTTGCACTCAGCTCCATCTCTACCACTCCTAGCCCTGGGCTGCTCCTCTCCTAACAGAGTGGGAGCTCGGAACATCAGCATCTGGATCCCTCCCCCTGAAGGCCCGCAGGGAGGCGGGGAGGGAAGGCAGGGCCCCAAGCCCCCCCACCGGCCCCACCCACCCTTCACCTGCGCCCCCACACCGGCCTCCCGGCTCTCTGCAGTGGGCTGCTGTGTCTTTGCATTCTTCGTGGGGCTGTTGTTCGTCCAGCGCTCCGGAAACTACTTTGTCACCATGTTCGACGACTACTCTGCCACCCTGCCGCTCACTCTCATCGTCATCCTTGAGAACATTGCCGTGGCCTGGATCTACGGGACCAAGAAGTAAGGGGGACATGGGGAGGGGCTGCGACAGGAGGAGGGGTCTGTCCTGTTACATGCCCCCGGAGAGTGCCGTGTTTCCAGGGCTGCTTCTGAGTGGGACAGGACATCACAGCCAGCCTGTCAGAGCTCAGAGGGCCCTTAGAGATCTGGGACTCGAGAGAGGACATGACTATCCAAGGCCACTTGGCTGGTAAGAGGCAGAAGCCAGGCTGAGGGCGTGGGTCTCATGGCTTCAGGTCCTGGCATCACTGTAAACTGCCCTAAATTCCCATAGCCCCTCACCTGAACACCAGCTCTTCAGAGTTCTGGTAAGCTTGTTAAGCACTTAGTGGGTGTCCAAGGGGCCCCTCTTCTTGAAAAACTCTAGGCCTTCAGCAGCCTGATCCAGTGTTGAGGTGATCAACATGGGGGTGTGAGATGAGGTGCGGTTTGGGGCCTGGCGGTGGCGTGGAGTAAGGAAATTCAGCAGTAACGAAGGAGCGGCCTGAGCCAAGGGCAGAGACACAGTCAGTCAGCCCCCCACCCCCAGCCCCTGCCTCATTCCTCATTTAACAAACCTGTGAGCCCGGGAAGCCCCAGGACGGGGCCTTCCCAGTCTCTGCAAGGCCAAGGGCCTCCCCTGATGTCTGGACCTGGTCTTGGAATCAGGCGCTCTGATGGCCCTGCGACAGCCGTCTTCTTCCCACAAGGGGGCAGGCGGGGACACTGGGTAAGACAGGAAGAGCCCCGTGGGCCAGGGCTGGGGGAGGTGGCTTCTGCAGTCGGGTGAAGCCCCTGTAACCCTTCTCAGAGTCTTATGTTTAAGTGGACAAGATAAAATACGTAAGGTATAGGAAATGAATTCAGTTGAAAAATGGGAAAGTACTGTTGAAAGTCGGATGCAGTAATGTACACATAGTTTATTTTTGCTGCACTAAGTTACAAGCTTTGGCTGTGGTGGTGACTGTGAAATAGCGTGAATACAAATGATGTTATTAGGCGGTTTCAGCTGTAGTGTGAGAGGAAGGTATCTGCGATGTAATGATTTGGTGACAGTCTTGGGTACTGCTAATTCCACTGTGGTTGCTTGCATTTGCAGTAGGAGGAAATGCAAGATTTCAGTTAGGTGTTATTGAAGTAGAAATGATTTTTTTATGACATTCATGTACACAGCCTGCCGGCTATTGTAATTCCATGCACCCACCCAGTGGTTAGAAGGCCCCAAGACCGGGCCTCTGGACACTAGACATGCACTTCACCTCTTTTCCAGCAGGGGGCGTGTAGAGTCAGAGCCGTGTGAGCAGGGCTGGGTGCATGGGAGCACACGGGAGTCCTCTGGTGCCTGCGCCTGCCCAGGCATGTCCCGCGAACAGCAACACATCCCCGGATGGGGGGGTGACGTTAGGAACTCAGGGGAGGTTAGCAGAGGGCACCAGAGCCTGCCCAGAGGCCAGCTGGACCACCGAATAATAAACTGGGGGCACTGACTGTGCAGAATGGAATGTGAAATGCCTGGGAGGGAGGGACTAGTCAGGAAAGGCTTCCTGGAGGAGGTGGTTGTGGGGGAATGCGCAGGTGCAGCGGGGGTGCCAATCTGGGCCCTCTGTGCCCCCGGCAGGTTCATGCAGGAGCTGACGGAGATGCTGGGCTTCCGGCCCTATCGCTTCTATTTCTACATGTGGAAGTTCGTGTCTCCTCTGTGCATGGCCGTGCTCACCACGGCGAGCATCATCCAGCTGGGGGTCACACCCCCCGGGTACAGCGCCTGGATCAAGGAGGAGGTGAGGGGGGACCTGAAACTCCAGGGTCCCTGGCATCTCCCCAGGCCTTTCATGCAACAGGCACTAGAGATAAACCCTTATAGGAGAGCTGCTGTGTGCCAGGCCCTCCCAGGGCCTTTGCACACCCGATCTGTAATCTTTACAACAGCCCAAAGAGAGAGGCGGCATTACCCCTATAGCACGCATGGGGAGACCGGGGGTCAGAAAGTTTGATGCACTTGTCCAGTCTTTCTAACCCATGTTCTCTGTCCATGTGTGTGGAGCAGAATTACCCATCCATTTTCCAGATGTAGAAACTGAGACCCAGGGGAGCTCAGGCCCTTAACCACCAGCTGACTCGGGTAGCAACCCTGATGCCCTCCATCGCTGCTGGTGCCTGGCCAGGATGGCGGGTGGGGATGGGAGAGGGCGGGAGGAGACAGGCCTGGAGGTCCTGGGAGGGTGAGGTGGTTGCAGCATCGGGCAGCAGCCCTCACCCCCATCTGCCCCTAGGCTGCGGAGCGCTACCTGTACTTCCCTAACTGGGCCATGGCGCTCCTGATCATCCTCATCGTCGTGGCCACCTTGCCCATCCCCGTGGTGTTCATCCTGCGACACTTCCACCTGCTCTCTGACGGCTCCAACACCCTCTCCGTGTCCTACAAGAAGGGCCGCATGATGAAAGACATCTCCAACCTGGAGGAGAACGATGAGACCCGCTTCATCCTCAGCAAGGTGCCCAGCGAGGCGCCCTCCCCCATGCCCACTCACCGCTCCTACCTGGGGCCCGGCAGCACGTCGCCCCTGGAGACCAGCGGCAACCCCAATGGACGCTACGGGAGCAGCTACCTCCTGGCCAGCACCCCTGAGTCGGAGCTGTGACCACCGCCCCACCCCGCCCACCTCTCCCCCCACATCCATCCAGCCCTCTCGTCCCGGCCTGGCCTCGCTTTCTGGGTCAGGCCCTCTGCCCAAGGAGAGGGCGTGTGCCCTCCCTCACCCCCCTCCCCAGTCCCAGCCGACTTCTCCCTAGACCTGAGCAGGGGCCAGGTGAAACTCTGTCCCCAGTGCAGGCTCCCAACCCATCTAACCTCCTGAGATCCACTCACCAAATCGCAGCTGATTAACAAGAACAATCCAGAAGTCCTAATACCCAGCACAGGGGAGACTGCAAGTGGCCACTGGAGGGGCTGCTCCCCCTCCCTCCCTCCCTGTAACCTGGCACCTGTCGTTCTTAGGTCCTGGGCATGCCTCTGTATTTCCAGGTGGTGGCGAGAGGCACCAGGTCGGGTAGGATGGGGTGTGGGGCAACCCAGAGGCTGATGGATTTAAGGTTGGGGACAGGACTATTGTGTCGGGACTCGGGGCTCAGACTTGGGATGGAATCTCGTAGAAGTCCCCAGGTTCTGTTTTGTGAGGCAGATGTTGCTCTCTGGCTTGAGCGTAAGCCTCAGCAGTGGCGGTGGAAGGGGGGCTGGGCATGGGGGTCCCTCAGCCTGGGCTCTAGGTGGAATCTTCCACATTCTCCACCCTGCCTGGGGCAGCGTGTGTCCTGTGTCCTGCCTGGAGGCTGATGACTGCCCGGAACCCTTCCCCACTTCCACGAGGGCTTAGCCTGCCCTCTCTGTCCCCAGAGTGGTGGCCTGTGCCTCTTTCCTCTGGAGAGGAGGGGACAGTACACAGAGAGGTTTCCAGAGCACACTTGACGGTTCACAGCACAATTCAGATGGTTTGGAGCACACACGCGAAGCACACTCCCTCTCTCACCCGGGGCCCAACTTTCTCACTAGCGGCAGCTTCTCCCCCTGGAATGGGGGTCCCTAGAGTTCAGGGACTCGTACCCAGGAAACCTCATCCCTGGGGAAAGACGGCTAATTTCACTGCCCCTTTGGGCTGCCACTCACTCCCTTGTTCAAGCACAGCCAGCACTGTGTGTCCATTGTGTGCGAATATCTCCGGAACCTTCCCCGAGCTGCCACGGGCAGTGCTACGGACACCGGTGCGGCCCAGGGGAAGGGTCGGGTCTCTGTCCTGGGGCCCAGGTCCCCCAGCATCCCCACCTACCCTTACCTCAGGCCTCCCCCGGAAGAGGGCTGCCCTTGGAGTGCAGGCTGGGAGGCCCGGAGCCGAACTAGAGAATGTCTGCAGAGCGCCGGACAGACTGGCTGAAGGATGGTAGTGTGGATGCATGGGCGTGGATGGAAGGCTGGCAGGCAGGCTGGCTGGGATGGCCGAGCTCCATGTTTGAGAGCTGAGCAGTGGGCCACAGTGCTAGGTCCTGGATCACTCTCGTGTTCACAGCACCGGGAGGGGCAGACTACGCCCAGGGTTCCCTCCTTCATCCTCTAGACCCCTGGCTCCCTCCCCAGCTTCCCTGGGGGTCCATCTTCCCACCTTGCCATTTCCCTTCCTCGTCCCTCCCCCCCTCCCCATCCGCTCCCATTTCTGGCCCTCTGACCATACCTGTCCTTTCTCAGTATGAGGGAGGAAGGAGACCCACATGTCCCTGAAGATATGAGCTTTTGGGGCACAACATCCCGCCTCGGGCACCTCACCGAACACCTCCTCCCTGGCCCCATGCCTAATCCCGGCAGACTTAGCAACAGGAAAAGCAAGGCCCCAGGAGAGGCACTCTACTATATATACTCTTCTATATATTCTATTTCTATTGTATATTCAATCTGTACATGTGGGTGTAAATGCTGTTAAATGACAAACCCAATATTATACTGTGGCTGGTGGACTATTTTCATCCTCAGTGCTGTACAGATCTATTTTCATTGTATATTTGATATATTTTTAATTTTGTAGCGTGTGGCTGGGCCAGGCCCCAGCCTGCCAGCCTGCATCAGGGCGGCCGAGCTGGGCCGTCTGCTTGGTTCTCGCGGGCTGGGCAGTGCCGGTAGCCTCTTGCCGCGGGCCGGGCCGACCCGGCTGTGGCTCTGCTGGGTTAGACGGGAGGCCTGGAGCTTGGCGAGTGCGCGTGCGTGCGTGTATGTGTGCGGTGCGTGCGCATACGTGGGTGTGGGTGTGTGTAGGTGATCCGTGACGCCCAGTGTCCGCCGCGTCCCTGAAGACCGCCCCGCCCCTCCCTGCCCCCTCCCTGCCTCCTCCCCTCAGCCCTGTCAGCCTCAGGCCAGGGTGCTGTGGGGAAAGGCAGGTGTTTCTTGCTGGTGACTCATCGCCTTCTACCCCTGGGCTTGCCAGAAACGGGGAAGGAGGGGCGAGGGGGTGGGGGGCAGCCCCCAAATTTATCTTCTAGCTACCTTCTCGCTGTTCCCCCTGGAGTGACAAGCTCTTTATTCTGAGGGAAAGCGCTGGGTTTCTTTAGACGGGGAGATCCCAAGGGGGCGCCGCTGTCCCCTGTCTGTCCTTGAGACGTCCTGAGAGTGCTCAGAAAGGACCCGCTTCCCTTCCCCTGTGCTTCTGACACGCACTCCTCACGCCTCAGTGGGGGCTGGGAGCAGGCAAGGCCTGGGTGGGAGTCACGAAGGGGTGTGGCATCTGACCAAGTAAGATCCCGCCCCAGATTTCCTGGAGGAGCAGGAGGGGCCCCCACATCCCCGTACAGGGGCCACGTCCCTTACTGGCTTTGGTGCTGTTCACGCAGTGCCCGCAGGAGACAGCGGACTCAGGGCAGGGCGGGAGGAGGGGGGGGCCTGAAAGAGCCCCCCACCCCACCCCACCCCTTCCCTGCTCCTGCCTGTCTTCCAGCCCCGATCACCAGCTTCTTGCTCAGGGAGCCCTCCGCGCTGAGGGGCAGGAAGCCCGAGTTGGGGAGGGGGGCGGGACAGGAGGGACATACTGACATACTAGTCGTTGTCAGCGAGGTGGGCTTGGCCCTCCAGCAATGAACCTGAGGGGACGTCCTCGTTCCTAGTGCCAGGAGAAGCCTCCTGAGTTAGCAGCGGCCCCGCCCCCGTTGGGGGCCGCAAGCTGGGTGGTCCTGCCAGGCCCTCAGCAGGGGGTGGGAGCTGCCCTCCTGCCCTTCCTCACAGCTACGCCCCCTGCCCCCCCCCCCCCAGTACTCCCACCGTGGAAGAGAGAAGAGACAACATGTTGGAACACACCTGACCCCTGCGTGAGCGTCGGCTAGGCCCTGAAACCGAGGGCCTGCTGCCCCTCACTGGAGCCTAGCGACTGCGGCTGGGGAAGGAGGGCCCACAGCAGCCATGCCTTTTGGTTCTGGCAAAGTTCAGAACAATTCAAGTCCATGTGCCCCGTGACCGGCCAGCGCCCTGGGTCAAGACCGCTCAGCCCAGGGGAGGGGACGAGGCGTCGTCACCCCCAGACCCCCTCCTTCCTTTCTCCTCCCCCCAGCCATGGTGTGCAATAAAGTGTCTGTTCTTACCAAACCCCTCTTGCCTTTCTGACCGGCCCAGGCTCAGGAAGAGGGGCGGGGGAGCCTCAGAGGCCAGCAGAAGCTCTGGGGAGAGGCTTGGACAGGGTGGGTCAGAGAGGACAGCTGGGGGCTTGTGGGTGCTGGCTGCCAGAGGACTTTGGGGAGGACGAGGAGGGATGCACGCTAAGCATTGTCCTGGGTGTTGGACAACACACGTGCCTGTGGCAGACTTACTGGCTCCGGGTACTCCACACATCGAATCTCATGGGAACCGCTCTCTGAGGGAGATGATTTGTGTTCTGGGTTTCCCCAGGTGAGGAGAATCAGGCCCTGGTGACGTGAGGACGGTGTTTGCTGTCCATTTATGGGGTCTTGTGGGAAATTCCTGCCCTTCCTTCGTGCCAGGAAGGCAGATGCCTGTTGCTCAGCAGGGGTGGACTGGGTGGAAACTCACCTCAGGGAAGAACTGGGGGCTGGGAGCAAGGAGAGGGATGGCAAGGGGCTTGAGGGGTCCCGGGAAGCAAGCCACGCTCTAAATTCGGATCTTTTGCAGACTTCAGTGGAAGGTAAAGGCCCCCGCACCGCACCCCACTCCAGTCTGAAATGCTGCTGCCTGATCTGCACACACAGCCAAGGTCCCCCAAGCAACCCTCCATTTCCTTCTCCTTAGAAGAGTGTCATTCCACAAATAGCCACCAGATGGCAGGAAAACCTTTCTCTCCAGATCTTCGTTCCCCTACCCTACTCTCCAACTCCAGCACTTCTGCCTTGTGGGTTCATTTGTTAGTTGAACAAACAATTATTAAGCTTCCACGGTGACAAGTTCTGTGCCAGATATGGACACACAAAGATCAGTAAATCAACCTCTGCTGTCCCGAGTTTTCCAGAGGGAACACCACCCCCCATATCCCTAGACTCTATATCACCCGATGTACCTCTCAATTGAGAAAGTCCCTGTGCTGAAAATGTCCCTCCTTGTAAATTCATTCAACCTTTTGGTTGAAATGTCAATTGCAGGAGGCACACATAGACCCACTAAGAAGCAGTGGGTTTGAAGGAGCTATGGAGTCAGACTTTCCAAGTCCAAGTTCAAATGTTAGCTGGGCCCCTCTCCTTCCTGGGAGACCTAGAGCAAGTTATTTAATCTCTCTGAGCTTAAATGTCTTATTCTGTAAAACAGGATAATAAATGAATTGAATGCGTTAGTGCATGTTGCTGTGTATCAAGTTTCCACAAATCCTAGTGTCTTAAAATAACCATTTTATTATATCTCATGATTTTGGGTGCAAGGAATTCAGGCAGGGCCTGTCTGAGGGACCCTTCTGGTGACAACTGAGGTCACTTAGTGGTGTTAAATTGGCAGAAGAGCTGGGGGGTCCAAGGCAGCTTCACTCACATTCATCCACATGACTGACACCTCAGTGAGAATGGCAGGGAGGCCGGGCTCCGCTGGGCCTGTCACCAGAAGAGTGTGTACACCCAGCTTCTCCAGCATGGCTCTTCTCTGGGTGGCTAGACTTCTTCTTTTTTTAATGTTTTTATTTACTTTTGAGAGAAAGAGAGACAGAGTGCAAGCAGGGGGTGGGGGGCAGAGAGAGGGGGAGACACAGAATCTGAAGCAAGCTTCAGACTCTAAGCTGTCAGCACGGAGCCTGACGCTGGACTCGAACTCATGAACTGTGAGATCCTGACCTGAGCTGAAATCGGACACTTCACCAACTGAGCCACAACAGCGCCCCTGGGTGGCCAGACTTCTTAAGCGATAGCTCAGGGTGCCCAGAGAGGCTGTTTCGAGAGACAGGAGTGGCCAGTGCCAATTTCTTAAGGTGAGGGCCTCAGAAATGACACGATGCCACTTCCGCTGTATTCTATGGTCACAGCATCCACCACAGTTGATGGGCAGGTGAACAGAGCCCACTTGCCGATGGGTGAATTTGTGGTTACCTGTATAACGGGCCCATTGCAGGCTGCTAGAGGTCTTCAGTAGTTGGCATGTCTGGGTGGGAGCTTCCTCCCGGGGTGGGGGGATATCAACTTACAGGCTCAAAACTGGGGCACAGAACAAATTTGTTCTGATGGGGATGTGAGTGGCCAATCTGGGGCCTTGGGTAGAGGGAGCACACAGGTATGAGGGAAGATGTGAGAATAGCTTCTTTTAAAGTTTGTTTATTTGTTTGTTTGTTTGTTTATTATTTTTTGAGAGAGCTAGAGAGCAAGCAGGGAGGGGCAGAGAGAGGGAGAGAGAGAGCATCCCAAGCAGGCTCTGCACTGTCAGCAGGAGCTCGAGGCAGGGCTCAAACTAAGAGTCAGATGCTTCACCGACAGAACCCACCAGGCACCCCAGAACAGCTGCTTCGGCCTCATGTTTGCCTGGAGCAGGTGACATCCACAGGTCTGAGTCACAGCTTTGTCACGGCAGTTAGACCTTGGGCAAGTCACAAACCTGTGAACCTTCATTTTCTAATCTGTAAAAGGTGGATGAAGAGCAAATCTCTTCCTTGCAGAGATTGCTGTGAAGAAGAACTGGCTTCCTTCTGGAATCCCTACTAGAATACAGTATAGAAGTCTTTCCATACTGAAATATAATAGGTGCTCATTAAGTAGTAGCTCCCTTCCTTTTTGCAACTGGAGTAAGTCCGTAGGGCTTGTTTCATTCTGAGGGCCCCGTTACCCACGCAATGAGCCATTCTCGCAGAGCTTTTCAGAAAAGACAGATTCAGCCTAAAGCCCAAAGAAAGGAGGGGAGAGAAGGCAATGTTTCCAAAGAAGGGAGTATCTAATATCCTACGCTGTCCTGCCCCCCTTCTCCCTAACCAACAGCCGTAACCAGCCACAAAGCCTCAGGCTTGGGCCAGGGTTGAAGGATTCTACAGCCCACAGAGATGTGGTGGTTCAAAAAAAAAAAAAAGTGGAGTCTGTGCTCCTTCCCTGGAATCCGCGTGAGTAAGCGTCTCCTTTGATCAACAAAGTAGGGCAGAAGCGACACGAGATTCCGTGCTTAGCTTAAGAAAGGTCATGCCACGTCTACCTGGCATTCTAGGGATGGTGGTCCTGGGAGAACTCAGCTGCCATGTGAGAAGTCTGTCTGCCCCAGAAAGGCAGGGCTAGCGAAGCTGTGTGTTGTGAGTGGTCCCGTGACAGCTTCAGCTCAACCCCCAGCTGACAGACACCATCACCTGCCAGCCACAGGGACACGCCACAGTGAGCACTCCGTCCACCTGCGCTGAAGGGGTCTGAGGCCCCAGGGGACACTGGGCTGCAGCCGCATGAGGGTCCCTAAACAAGAACAGTCCAACCAAGCAAGCCCTTCGGATCTGCCAGACCCGTCGTATCCTCAGCAAAATAGAAGTCCCTTTGCATTCACACCACTAAACTTGGGGAGTGATTTGCTTCAAAGTGATAGAAACCAGAACACAAACCCCAGTGATTATGTGCCCAACCTCCTCAGAGGACAACTGGAGACACTGAAGCCCAGAGAGGGGAAGAGATCTACCCAGAATTCCCATAAGCAAACAGGGGAAAAACCAGGGCCAAAGCCTGGACTACTCAACTCCCAATGTAGGTGCTGCAAGTACTCACAAGGGAAGCTTCCCCCCTTCCCACCCTCATCCCACCATCATTAATGCCATGCCAGGCATGGAGCATGACCAACGCGTTGAGTCCTAGGACTGTGCTAAGCACTGAGAATATACAAATAAGGATCAGACAAGGGCACCTGCTTCGTATAGGTGGTCCTCATCGGACCTGGAACGTTCTGCCACTGTCATACTCGCCGGCGGGTTCCAGGCACACAGATGCGTTCACCAACACTGTCTTATGTGGGAGGAACCCCAGGAAATGGGGAGAAGATGACGTCTGTCACTCAACGCCAAACAAAGCATTATGAAGATTCCTCCGTGCCGGCCACAGCGTCAGCTGCAGAGCAGGACTCAGTGGAGATCCACGCCATGGCTCCGCCAGCCAGCGCTGGCCGGCTTCTGAGCCTCTCTATTCTTCCCAAGACTGAGCCAAACAGGATCCCTGGGCCTCCTGAGCCTCCAAGAGGAGCCAGTGTTTGGTCTGCTTCTGCAGAGGACCGCTTCGCCTTTCCCCGGGACACTGCTGGAGGGGGCTGGGCCCGTCACAGCTAATTAACCACTCTAATGGAATGAACCAGTTTTGCTGGAATTTAGCCCGGGTGGGAGGAATCTGTACTTTTCTAGATGGAGAAATGCTGAGCGCCAAGGAGTCCCACCAGCTGGGGCCTGAGCTAGGGAGTGCGTGCGTGTGTGTGCGCGCATGTGTACGCGCATGTGTGTGTGCATTCTCTCTCTGGACACAGGCTGAGTCTCTATCCCAGGGGGCTTGAGTAAAGAGGGCTCCGGGGGTCTACTGGACTGGTCCTGCTACTGTGACTCCCACAAATACTGTTCTAAAGGCAGAGGCCACGTGGGACCCCGATGACAGGCCCAGCTCAGTCTCCCAGGGCTCACTGCTGCTCCTTAGGCCAAAAGTCTCTCAAGAAGAATGTACCTGTGAGGTAGCACTCAGGTTCCTGCCCAGCCCTGTGACACAGACTCCATGATTTATGAGGCTCTGAGGCTTGGCCTGGCCTGAGCTTGTGGCCTACCCCCTGTGGGTCCTTTAAGAGGTGATACATCAAAGTCCATCTTCTGAGTTCCCTAGAGCTCTAAACACGCCTGCACTATGATTGTCACAGCCACCCAATCCTGCCTTCTCTGTGCAGAACCATTACGGCTGACCTCCACAGGGCCCCGAGGGCTGTCCTCTCTGCTTGGCTCTCCCAAGGCCCCTCTTGGGAAGGCTCTCAGCATCTGATTTGGAGCCTGTTAGTCTCTGCAGGCTGCCTGCGGGTGGGGCTGGGAGGCAGGGTTAAATGAACTGATAAGCAAACAGGAGGCTTCCAGCCTTCTCTGGCTTTTTTCTCTGTTCCTTCCATGAAAGGCTCTTATCACCCTCCCCTCAGTGATGAGATGATAGCTGACAAGGCAATTCAATTAATCGGGCTGGGGAGCAGGGCAGGCTGGGAAAGGATGCTGGCTCCTTGACCTGGGCCTAGGGAGTAAGGGTCAGTCCCTGGCCAGAGCCGGAATGCCAAAAGGGGGTCGTGTGAGTTTTCATTGGAGAGATCCTTGCTTGACAGCTGTGGACTTGCTCCTAGGCCTCGAACCCTTCAAAACAAGCGGAATCCAAAGCAAGAAGATAGGATAACAGATGGCTCCTTTCACCCCAAAGTGACTGAGCCCCACTCCAAGCCACAGTAGCAAAGGGGAATGGCATATGGCTTTGAGGTCAGGCTCTCCAGCTTTGGGGTTGGCAGGGTCAGCCTCAGCTTTCAGAGACCAAGGGCCTTATTTGAGGGGCTACGGAAAGGCTGTAGGTGCTTGGCAGCCGTCATCAGTGTCACTCTGGAAGCAAACATTGCCCTCTTTCCTTATGCTTTTGCCACACATTTAATCCTGGTGAGGGAAACCCACTGCGGCTGCCATTTTAGTGTGAACTAGCACCCAAACAGGTGCTCTTTTCTTACTGCTAGAAGAAACCACAGGGTCCAGGGAAGAAAGGTGGAGAAAAGATAACACTAGAGAGAAATAGGCTTGTAGAATTTGGAATTTTCAACTGCAGCAATTTCAATCTTGCTTCAGCCTGCCGGTTATCAAGGTCTTGGAGGAATGGGAAAAGGCAAGAGCATGCAGAGTCCCCGAGGGGAGACTGGCAATTGACGGGAAGCCCAGAATCTGTTGTCACCTCAAGCCTTTAACCCCTTTTTCTCCTCATCCCCGCAGGCCAGAGTGGAGGTGAAGTCGGGGGCGGGGACTCCTAGTACCACCAGGGGGCAGCACCCACCCATGCAGAGTAGGCTGTCCCAGGGCAGGCTGGGGAGGGGGCTCTCTTCTCTATCCCTGGCTCTGTACTTTGGGGAAACTGCATGACCTCATGCACACAGAACTAACGGAGACAAGCCAGCTGCAAGGTCCTGAATCCCCCAGAGAATTCCCGAAAGGCTAGGTAACAGGTTTGCCCAGAGCTCTGGGATAAAACCTGCAGCCAAGTGACGACAACTTCTCTTGGAGGCCTCTGGTCTGAGGCTGAGCTCCCATCTTCAGCAGCTGGTCAGCGCACTGAGTCAGGGAGCCTCCCACCCGGTGCACATTTACTCACTGCCTCTCCCAGGCTGGGCCCTTTGTCTTCCCTGCTCTTCCTGGGGCTCCCTACCCTAACCCCACCTTTTTGACTTCCCCTCCAGGTCTTTTATTTCCCTGGCAGCTTTCTCCCTCCACCCATCTTCCCACATGCTTATTACCATCCACAAATATTGCAGAATGGAAGTAGCAAGAAGAGGGCAGAGATTTGCTGGGATGAGGTGGGGGGAGCGCTGCAAAACAGGTAGGGTTCTGTCTCATTCATTGATTTTCATTGCCTGAACAGCTTCTGGCACACAGTAGGTACTCAAGAAATACGTATTAGATAAACAAAGGACTCAGCTGTGGGATGCTGGGATGTTGTTGGGGATTTTTTTCATTCCCCCCGCCCAACTCCCATCAATTCCTCACTCTTCTTGAAATGACTGAGCCTGAAAAATGCAAAGTGGGGGTGACACAACCAGACAGCACTGGAAAGCTATTCATTCGTCAATTCTTTAACATCGGTGCTGTGGCTCTTCCTCTCTCACCCCAGCTTCCGGCCAGTCCTAGGTCTTCTCTTCCCAGTCACATTTGGGATATTTCTTCTTTGCTGCAGCACAGCCAAAGCCAGCCAAACTCTGAAAGGCAGACATTAAGGATCGGACACAAGAGAGGTGCCAGCAAATGTGTGTTTCTGGCTACCATCCAGGGTGATACCCACCTCCTCTGCATATCAGCACGAATCACCAAGACCATGGTCACTTTGGTTTTCCAACTTCATTAATGAGACTTTTGCTGACAATCCCTTGCATTTGCTCTGAGCTTTAAACCTTTCTGGGGAGCACACCAGGACCTTGTCTTGTTTTCCCACAACAGCCGGGTACTACCTGATCTGGAAGCTGGATGGTATGTAGGTATCGGAAGCAGGTGTCAATTGCCTTGTATTTTCTGCTTGAAAATCCTCCTTACGTCATCCAGAGGGACACAGAGGCTGCCTGAAGCTGTAAAAAAAAAAAAAAAAAAAAAAAGAGGATTAACTTAAAGATGTAGAAGAGGCTCTGGACTTAAACACAAATAAAAACAAATGAATCTGGAAATTGCTTTTGGGATGAGGCCAGTAAGATCGGGCTGGTGCCTAATGTTTTGGGGTTGGCAGCTTGTCAATCACTTAGCAAACAGGTTTTCACAGGCAGGCACTGTGGGGGCTATCAAGATGAAAAAGCAGTGCAGGCTGGAAGACCTTAGGGTCAGAGAGGGGAGAGGAGACAAATTGGAATGAGTGAAACAACACGGAACCAGGAAGGGGTCACACGCAGGAAGCGGGCTGCGGGCACTTTCTATGTGCTTTCAGGGCAACAAGGAGCCATGGCTGTAACCTAATGATCTTTCAGGACCACCTGCTCTACACCCATAATAGTGCCAGAACTCTGGGTTTCTTCCACCCAGACGAGGAGCCAAGTCTCTGTGCAAGGCCGCCAGGTCTCCCATTCCATCCCAGGGGCTTTGTTGACTGGGATAAAGACTGGTATCCAGATCACAGGCATCTTGGGCCTAGTTGGGCCTCCTAGACGCAACATGGGGGCGGGGTGGTCAGGAAGCCCTAACACGGTGTCTGGGACAGGAGGGGGCAGCCTCCGCCTCTAGACACCGTCTCTCCACTCCCTTTATCCCCGTCCTCCAGTCCACCGCAATGAAACCGCAACAAGGCTGGGGAGGGGGTTGACTACAGCAGCCAGAAGGGGCAGGGGCGGGCGGAGGTTAGAGGTCAGGGGTCGCGAGCACTTCGGTGTCACAGGGGCTGCAGTGGGAGGAGCTGCGGGCTCAGGGAAGGCGGGGAGCCGGGCCGAAGGGGGCGGAGGGGACGGTGGCGGACGCGCGCAGGGGCGGCGCGCTGAGCTGGGCGCTGGCGGCGAGGGGGTTACGCGCCTCGGCTCGGCTCGGCTCGGCTCCGCGGAGGAAGGCTGAGCCCGGCCGCCCAGGGCCCTGCAGCGAGCCCGGTCGGCCCCGCGCCGCGCCCCGCCCACCCCGCCCAGGGGAGGGTGCGCCCGGGCGAGGCGGGGCCGGCAAGAAAAGGCGCCACCGGAGAGTGGCATCCGCTACCAACGCCGGAGGGAGATCGAGAACCCCCTGGGCCCCAGCCCACCGGCGCCCAGCCCCCCCCCCCCTTAGGCCACCTTTCGCCCGCCTCCTCCGCGAGCCAAGGCCGGTGCCCCGCCCGGAGATGGGCAGACGCGCGGATGGCGTGGCTCCCAGCGCCGCCAGATCGCTGGAGCCCGGCGCCGGGGCGCTGCGCTAAAGCTCCCGATCCACGCAGCCTGGGAAGCCTGCAGGTGTCCTTGGCCGCTCGGCTGCCGGAGCCCAGAACCCCGCGTCCCGGAGCGGCTCCGCCCCTCGGGCTCGGCGCTGCGCAGGACGCCCCGTCTGAGGCCCCCCCGCCCCAGCACGGCCCCCGCTGCGCAGCGCCAGCCCAGCGCCGCTCCCAGCCGCCGCCGAGCCGCGGACGCAGGACGGGAGGCTCGCTCCTGCGGGTGCGCTTGTTTTTCTGCGGCCGCCTCGCCCTGCGCAGCCCCCGCCCGCCTGAACGCCGCGCTCTGCTCAGCCCCGCCCGCCATCCGAGCCCTGCGCTGGATTTATGAATGGGGGGAAGAGGCCACATGCCGCCGCCGCGTGTTGACCGCAAGCAGCCCGGGCCCGCCGATCTCCGCCGGCTGCCGTAAGAGCGTCGGCCCGGCCCCGGCAGCCGCTCCGAGGACTTGTTGCTGCTGCGCTGCCGCCGCCGCGGGGAAGCCGAACGCTCCCGGGACTCGGGAGCCGGAGGGTGGCCCGTGTGAGTGTGAGCGCGCGCGCGCCCCAGACCCTCGCAGTGAGCCTGGACCGTGCGCTAATTCGCCTTTTGAGGGTGAAAGGGGGGGGCGTGTCCGGGGGCCCGAGCATTTGCGTGTCCAGTCCTAGCCGGGGAGCGTGAGGGCTTGTTCCTGCCTCCCCGGGCCCCTCGCTTGGGTCCTCGGCTCGCCTCTTCCCTCCTGCCTAGCTCGCCGGAGCTTCCTGCCCAAGCCCCAACCACCTGTGCACCGGAGAAACCCAACTCCTCCTGCTCCGCACCCCGGGGGAAGGCAGGGGCAGGGCCAAGCCGCAGAGGGGGCCGCCACCGCCTCCTGCCGCCTCCTCGTCTCCTCCCCCTCCCCCGTCTGACGCTGCCTCCTTGGGAAGGGTGTTTGGAGGGCAGCGGCCGCCCCAAGCCGAAGCCCCGCAGCGCTTCTTATGATCAGCTCGGTGTGTGTCTCCTCCTACCGTGGGCGCAAGTCGGGGAACAAGCCTCCGTCCAAAACATGTCTGAAGGAGGAGATGGCCAAGGGCGAGGCGTCGGAGAAGATCATCATCAACGTGGGCGGCACGCGACATGAGACCTACCGCAGCACCCTGCGCACCCTACCGGGCACCCGCCTCGCCTGGCTGGCAGATCCCGACGGCGGGGGCCGGCCCGAGTCCGATGGCGGCGGTGCAGGCAGCAGCGGCGGCGGGAGCTGCGAGTTCTTCTTCGACCGGCACCCGGGCGTCTTTGCTTACGTGCTCAACTACTACCGCACCGGCAAGCTGCACTGCCCCGCCGACGTGTGTGGGCCGCTCTTCGAGGAGGAGCTCACCTTCTGGGGCATCGACGAGACCGACGTGGAGCCCTGCTGCTGGATGACCTACCGGCAGCACCGCGACGCCGAAGAGGCGCTCGATATCTTCGAGAGCCCGGACGGAGGCGGCGGTGGCCCGGGGACCGGCGACGAGGCCGGCGACGATGAGCGGGAGCTGGCCCTGCAGCGCCTGGGGCCCCACGAGGGAGGGGCAGGCCCCGGCGCGGGGTCCGGGGGCTGCCGTGGCTGGCAGCCCCGCATGTGGGCGCTCTTCGAGGATCCCTACTCCTCCCGGGCGGCCAGGGTGAGTGGCAGGAGCCCGAGCCTCCTCTCCGGGCGTGCAAGGACCCGTGGTGGTGGGGACAGGGGCCGGGGGGGGGGGGGGCGGGCCGGGACTGACTTACCCTTACCACTGCCTCCCTCCCAATTCCCTCTGTCTTCCATCCGACCCCAGAGGACTCAGTCACCGCTCACCCGTTCCCCCCCCCCCTGCACGCCTCATCAGGAGATGGCACACACTTGACTTACTACTTGGACCTAATCCCAGCTGCTTGCTTTGCCTCATCCCCACCGAGGGAGTGGGTTGCCCTTAGCTGAGCTCTTCCACCCCCTTCCCTCTGCACGGGCCGCCTCTCTTCATTTACCCCCACTCCTCCACAGGGCCAGCGGCCTGCAGAGCTGGAATTAGGCCTCCTGCCTGACTCAGGCAGGGTCTGGGGGAAGAAAACTGGGTGTGTTAAGCGCCTACTCTGTGGCAGGCCCATGTGTTAGCTTCTTCCACGGGTGCCACCTCCTTTCAACGCTCTGGGCAGCTGGGTACGCTGTGAAGTATGAGTTTTGTAGAGGGGACATGAGCTCCAGCCTAGACAGTGCCGGGACCAGAACCCAGGCCTCTGGTGAGCCCTTTTTTCAGGGAGACAAGTCAAGATGTCTGCCCCTTGCCATGCCCCTAAGGCTTCCCGGTCACCTGGGTTGGCTTGGCTTCAGCTAGACAGGAAGGGCCTAATGTTCTGGGTGATGCAGGCTCCCGCGGTCAGTGGCCAGCCACAGGCTGCCTGTGATGATCCCAGATTTGTTGCCACTTCTTTTCTTCCTGCTGCGGCACAGATTGGCTTCCCAGAAAGCCTTGGTTCAGGTTACTGCCTGAAATGGGTATATGGGGGGAGAGGAGGATGGCATAGGTTGATGTTAGGCCAGATCTCGTCCCTTCCCACCACCTCCTCTCCAGGTCAGTCCAGTTTCTCCCAACCCCCTTAGGTGAAAGGGGTTGGAGGGATGAGAATATGCTTGGATGGCTTAAAACAAACAAACTGAAGGATGGCTTCATATTCTTTAAAAAAGAGAGAGAGAGAGAGAACCCTGGAGGCTGGTGCCCGGCTTCATGGCTAGCAGCCCGAAGCCTAGCTGGGGTCTGGGGGACAGGAAAGAGCAACACATGTTGGGTTTGGGGACCACCCCCACTGTGGGAGCTGGTCCTCACCTCTGGCATCCCAAGTCATCCTGTTAATGAGTCTCAGAGCCCTCGCCACTCTCCCTAGCACCTCCTGGGCTGGGCCTCAACCAGGTCGTGGAAGGAAAAGTTCTACTTCTCCATCCAGGGGAGGGCGGGAGACTGGGAAAAGGGGCTGCAGGGCGGGCCAGGCTGGCGTAGACACTAGACCAGTGCAGATGCATGTCCGGCCTGGGAGGAACAGGGGTCTCGGTGGCCAGGGCATCCCGGGGCAGCCCCTGGAGTGCAGACCCCTGTGTCAGACTGAGAGTGAAGCTGGGGCCAGGAACTGCCTTTGTTTCTTCCCTTACAGCCCTTAGATCAGCCCAGATGGTGCCCCGGCCTGGGCCTGCGGTGAGTTCTGGAGGCTCCTCATGAAGTTCACTAACCCTGCCAGTGTTCACTGTTGGCTGCGTGTCCTAGGGGCGAGCGACCAGGATAGCTAATCCAGGCTTTTTACATTGAGGCTTGGGGGTGGGGGGGGTGGGGGGGGGGAGGTGGTAGATTTGGCTTCCTAGAAATGAGGAGAGGGGACAAGCCAGGGAGGCAGGAGTGAGATGAGGTGGTTAGGGGAGCTAGGTCCTACTTCTGAGCATTCTGGGGCCCCCGGGGAACTTTGAGTCTCTTGATTCTTCTCACTCGGATTCCAAGGGATTGTGCCGTCATTGAGTTTACATTCTGCTCAACAAACCCCAGGGTCGGCCAGCCTGGGGGCTCATTGAGTAAGCTCAGAGCCTCATTGACCCCTCGAATTTCTCCAGGAGCCCAAGATACTTGCCCTTTTGATGTGGCATCACGTCAGCCACGGCATTCCAGCTGAGGTCAGAAGTGCCGGAGCAGGGTTACTTCTTCATATTGAAGCAATGAGGAAACCAGGATTCAGAGGTGTCAGTTCAATGCCCTCAAAGACACTTCAAAGCAGAGTAGGAACCTCCCTTCAGTTCCAACTTCCTGGTTGTTAATCCCGATGTGAACAACTGTATGGAGCTTAATAGCACTCGTGTCCAGAGAGGACTTGCTTCCTGCCTCCAATTCAGCTGTTCCTGGGCCATACAAGTGAGAATACATAATTCTTAAAAATTGGTAAGAGTATTCCATGCAGGTATTTACATTAATCTCTGGTCCTCCCAGGAAACTTACAGTGGAGATCTCATCCCCATTCAGGAGATTGGGGCCGTAAAAGGGTAAACATCTTGCCTGAGATGACACAGCCAGATAGTGGAGTGCTGTGAGTCAAAGCCCTTGCTCCTCTGATTGCAACATGTTCTTTCCACTGAACGAGGCTGTTTTGGAGGTGAAGAGGTGGCTTGTTTCTTATTCTGGCCTGGAAGGAGTTCTGAGGCTCCGTACCTCCTGTGGATGACATCAGAAAACCCAGGGGCAGATGGGGACATCAACAGGGACATTTAGTTACTCTATTACCCCTCGAGGTCTAAGGGCCTGGGATGTCGGGCATCTGGGGCTTCACCCTCTTCACTCGGTTTGCCCCAGGCTAATAACACAGCCCCTCCAGCAAGCACTGTCCACTGGGTCTGCACATACCCACCGTCCTTGGGGCCTGCAACACCAGTCGTGGGCTTGGGGCGCCCATTGAAGGCCAGTAGAGCAGAGGAACCCAGGCGTCGCTTTGCACACGGCAGCTGGTCAGTTGAGTAGTGCGTTACGGCAGGAACAAAACAGTCACAGACGGAAAGTGAACGGAGCTGATGGTGGAGCCTGTTGCCTCGCTACTGGCCTGGCCCGCAGAGCCACTCCCCCTTCAGGCAGGCCCCAGGCTGGTGGGGTGCTCACCCCTGCGCCCCTCACTGTGGCCAGGCCTGTGGCGGCCACCTTGGTGGTTCTGTTTCTGTGGCCTGGCATGGGAAAGCAGGCACAAGAGGCAGGGTGGTCCTGTCCCCACCTGCCCGGAGCCCACGGCCAGGGTGGCTTGCCGGACTGAGGGGGGACCAGCAGGGTTTTGGCAGCCTGAGACTGGTGGAATAAGGCCTGAGGGGAGACAGGAGGCCTGATGAACGGGACCCTAGGGCACTCCCCTCCCTTCGCTCCCAACCTCTTGAGGACCCAGGGGTTAGACTGGCCTCAGCTATTCCCAGGCCTATTAAGTGGTTTGGGGCGCCTGGGTGGCTCAGTCGGTTCAGTGTCCAACTCTTGATTTCGTCTCAGGTCATGATCTCACGGTTTGTGAGTTCAAGCCCTGCATCAGGTGGTTGAACTAGGCTCCAGACCCAGATCTTGTGACCCCACGTCTGTGCTTGGACCACAGCATCAGCGTCCGCCTGCGCCTTCTTGCCTGGAAAAGGCCTCTGACTTCAGGGGCCCCATAGGGGGCCTTCTGTTCTCTTGCATCTCACTCTTCACTTCCTCTTCCAAACCAAAGCTCCCATCCCCTCGCTTCCTAGAATTGCTCACATCTGAGCTTGCTCTCTATTTTTTCTCACTGTGGGACTTTCATAGAACAAGAAGAAAGGGGACTTAGTTACGAGAGGTGATGGGGGGTGGGGGGTCCCCTGGTGGAGGACTGAGATGGAGGCCTTCTTGGAAGTAAATGCAGGGCTGTGTTCCTGCTTTATCCCTTCTGAAGACCCCCCAGCTTCTCCGGCCTGGGCATTGACTGGGACTAGCTGGCTGGTGGGCAGGACCCCCTGGTCCTGAGCCTCCTGGGCTGCGGAGAGCCGAGAAGCCACGCCAGGGAGGCTGGGTGCCCTGGCCTCTCCCCCAGCCCTGTCCTGAGGCAGCCTCGCAGTCTCCTCCTGGGTTTGTTTTGTGTTTTTCTTTTTTGTTCTGAACAGACCAACATTTGCCTCTGAACATCTTGTCTCTGGATAATGAGGTGTTTCTGTTTGTCACCATTTGGGGTGGGGTGTTAAGTGGGGGAGGGGCTAAAATAAACTTGGGCTATTTTGGGGAGATGGGGGAAGAATAGGCAGGAGCAGAGCCAGGCATTTGGGCCTTGGGAACAGGGAGCCCCTGGGCTCCTTGCCTCTACCCGTGGCCGTTGCCGGCTTGTCCTGCCCTCACTCCGGACCCGGTGTGCTGGGCACCAGGACATCCAGGCCATCCTTGTCCCTGGGCAGCCAGCCTTCCACGACCTCTGGCCCAGCTCCCGGCTAGGGTTTGTTTTTTCAGGCTGGGTTATGCTTACCCAGCATCTGGCAGGGGGCCCCATCAGGCAGTGGGCTTGGCCCACCCTGGAAAGCCACAGAGTCTGAGCCTAGAGGTATTCCTGGGTATACCCATCACCTCTGGCCCGCGTTAGTGGGGCTGGCCATGTCTCCTCGTGACAGGTTCCCCAGGACCAGCAGAGGAGGCAGGCAGTCACCTTGGCTCCAGTCATTCAGAAAACATTTGTTGGGTGCTTACTGCATGCCGGACTCCAGGCTGGGCCCTGTAAATACAAAGTCAGACACGAACCCTGTTCCTGAAGGGAGCTAGGTCAGGTGGAGGAGGTGGCATTTGGGGGAAACAGGGTGACAAGAGATAGTAATAATACGAGATAGATCACAAGAGGTGCCACAGTAGTCTTAGAAAATAAAGTCCAGTAGGAGGTGAGACGACAAAGCCATGAATCCCACCTCTGTGTGAGGTGAAGTGAGGTGGGGAGACCGTTGGCAGGCAGGGGTAGCTTCAACGAGGGAATAGAGGTTAAGCGGGATAATGACTTAGCTCCCTTAAATAATTTTGAGAAGGAGGCAGGCTATAAATAACTATATAAATAAATAAAATTTCAATGTGAGTGGTGCTTTAATCCATGCAGAGTTAGGGAAGGGGCAAGTTTTCTGGTGGGGGGACCAGCCGGGGCAGAGAGGGGACAGTATGGAACATGGATAGGCAATAGCCAGGAATTGCATTTGGCTGGATAAGTTCTTGACCTGCGATCGATTGGGGCTGGACTGAATTGCCCTCAGGGCCAGACTCATCAGCTCCCGGCAGCCCAGAGGCCCTGAGAAATCCCACGTGCTGGCTTGGCAGGAGGTGGGCATCGGGGGAGGCTGGCTCTGCCCCTGGAGCCAGAATGGGAGGTTCCCAGGCCCAGCGTCTGCTCCTAGGGGACCCCATGCAAGGAGACAGACAGACGTCACTAGGCTGATACCTGGGGCTCAGAGAGCAGGCCCTCACCCAGGAGCCTTGGGACAGCTCGGAGATGCTTTGCCTGATACGCCATCTCTCTTTCCCTGCCTCTGAGCCTGCAGGGCTGCTCGTTCCCTTTACAGCACTGCCTGAGCTCTAGGACCTCACTTCTCCGGAAACCTCAGCTCCTCATCCCATCCCCACCGATCTCTGCAAGTGTCTTTGGCTGTGTTCTCAGATTTCTCTTCTCCTACACTTCATCCTTAATATAGGTTTTGGGCATGAGTCTTCTTATGTTTATCAGTCCATCTGTCTCCTTGGCCCTTTCTCCTTGGGCTCCCCTCCCCTGCCCCCGCTGATTGTATTCAGTTACCAATGACTGGTGTCTGTCACCTCCCCCCACCCCCCCGACCCAGCCTGTGCCAGATTCTGGAGACACTCTAGGCTCTGTGCTGAGTTTTACAAATATCATTTCTTTTAATCCTCAAAACAACCCTATAAAGTGGGTACTCTTCTCATCCCCCTCAACACATCAAGCACTCTGTAGCCTCAGGTCCTTTGCAATGCCTGTTCCCTCTGGCTCTCCGGCTGTCCTGGATCTTCATGTAAACTCGCTCCCTCACTCCTTCAGGTCTCTGCTTAGATGTGTCACCTTGGCACTGAGGCCTTGCCTAATCACCCCATTTGAAATAGTTCCCTTGGGTCACTAAGTCAGTTAAGCGTCCAACTCTTGATCTCGGCTCAGGTCATGATCTCATGGTTTGTGGGTTTGAGCCCCGCATAGGGCTCTGCGCTGACAGCACAGAGCCTGCTTGGGATTCTCTCTCCCTCTCTCTGCCCCTCCCCCATGCGCACACACGCGAGCTCGTTCTCTCTCAAAACAAATTTAAAAAAATAGTTTAAAAAGAAAATGAAATAGTTCCCTCACCCTCATACTCTACCTCCTTTTCTATTTTTCTTCCTAACACTTATACCATCTGGCATACTATGTATTTACTTATTTTTGACAGCTTCCTTCTCCCAGACTGTAAGGCCTAAGGGGCAGGGATGTCTGTTTTGGTTCCTGCTGTTCCCCAGCATCCAGAACAGTGTCTGGCACATAGTAGGCACTCAATCCCCATTTTATGGGCAAAGGTCCTAAGGCTTAGAGAGGTTAAGAAATTTGCCTCAGGTCTCTCAGGCAGTAAGTAGCAGAGCCCAGCTTCTACCCAGAAGCATGTGACTTTGGATTTCTCCATCACAGTCTTAGGATGAGCTTGGTGCAGGAGGCTGATAACGGGGCTGATTCACCAGCCAAAACCCCTGGGTCTCCAGATGGGTGTGGCCCCAACAGGATACAGCCAGCCTGTGTGTGGGGAGCCCGCGGAGCAGGAAGCTTGAAGGGACAGTGCTTTCCTGCACAGAGACTAGGACCCGCCTGTCCAGGGTGGTGAGACCCTCCTGCATCCTTCGAGAGGGGCCGAGCGCAGCTGCTGGCCACACCCGTTCACATAAGCAATTTTCCGCTTGGGCCGTCTTGACTTGCAGCAGAATCTACGCCTGGTGTCCTCAGGTAGCGTGGAAAGAACTGACATCTTCCACCACGGGAACCAGGGCAAGTCGCTTCTCCCCAGGCCTCTGTTTCTTTGGTTGCAAAACAGCAGAAAGGGAACTGAACTGAATGAGCTTCTGGGTCCCTTTGCTTCTAAAAAGCAAAGATTTTTGTGATATTTCTGGCCCCAGATCCAACTCCGCTCTCAGTAGCTGCATGTAAGGGTCCATGGAGGCCCCCACACCTCTTCGGCTCTGTTGCTGTTAATTGAGCACATACTGCGTGCCAGATACTTTGTCGTGTAGCAGCTCATTTAGACCCACAGTAACACTACCAGCGAGCCCTAGTGCTGTCCTCATTTTGTAGTGAGAGAGCTGCACAAAGCACACTGTTTACCTAGTGAGTGGTTGGGCCAGGTTGAGGGCCCCCGCGGTGTGATCCCAGGGCTCCTTAGCTTTGTGCTCAGGCTCTGCTCGGCAGGGGCCATGGGAAGGAGGCACAGGTACACACCGCCAGCTTGGGCTCAGAAGGCTCCAGCTCAAGGCCTTGATGTCTCAATAGGGTGGTATTGTAGCCACTGCCTCCTTCCTTGGTCCTTTTCTGTCCCCAGAAGCCCCCAGTAAAGAGAGTGGGAGGAAAAGAAAAAAAAAAGGCCATGTCCCTGCTGCCAGGGACTTGCATAGGACCTCTACTTACAAAATAATTCCATTTGGGAATAACTTAGGGAGAAAGGAATAATTGGGGCCTGATGGGGGACCTGTAACCTCGGACCCACCTTGGGCAACATGCCAGCATCCAGGAGTCTGCATCTGTCCCAGCTCAGACTCCAGTGGTGTGTCCATCTCTTCGGGAAGGGGGAGCTTTCTGGGGCCTGCCTTGTACCTGCTGCCAGGCCTAGGGAGGCCACACGGGAGATGGAGACCCCATGAAGATGTCACCAAGGAGGAGTGGACTATCCCCCCTTGTTTGGTTAGGGGGCCAAGTGGAAAGAGCTTTGAGCTGAGAGTCAGGAGACCTGGCCTCCTGACCCTGAGCAAGTTGTTTCCCCTCTCTGGTGCCTCGGCTGTCCCCGAGAAATGGGCACCTGTGGCTACCCTTCATCTGCCCCATCTTCTGGGACGGCTGAGGTGAGTGAATGAGTAAATAGTTGCAACAGTTCTGTTTAAAGAAAAAAAAAAAGCAAAAGCGAGTGAACACTGCAGAAATTCCAGGGGTGGTTCCCTAAGGCAGGAGGGGTGGTTTGTACCTTCTGGGTGGCTGCAGAAGGAGCCCAGGGTGGCCCCTTGGCCCTGCGGTTAAGAGGGTGCCCGGTACACAGCCCTCCCTCCACTTCTCCCCTCTGTGCCCTCTGCTCAGCCCCTTGGCGGCTCTTCCTGAACTTGTTTTTCCAAATCACTAATTAATGTCACGCTTGGCTCCCAGGTGGGCCAACTCTCCCGGCTAATTCTTCTCAGAGAGAGTGAGCTCCTGCTTTCCATACTTCCTGGCAGAGCTGGGACATGCCATCTCCACCCCCTGCCCCACCCCTTTTGCTGCTGGGGATGGGAGCAGCGCCCGGAGTCTGGGATCCCAGCATCACTGTGGGCACTGAACAGGTGTTTGCACCAGCTCATCTCTGGATGGCCACGGAGAGCCCACAGGCTGGAGCCGTTTGCCCAATGTCCACACCAGTCCATACTGCCTTGATAGCCCATTTCTCAGGGAAGAAAAATGAGATCAGGGGCACTTGGGGGGGCTCAGTCAGTTAAGCATCTGACTTGATTTTGGCTCAAGGCATGATCTCATGGTTTGTGAGATTGAGCCCCAAACCGGGCTCTGTGCTGATAGCATGGAGCCTGCTTGGGATTCTCTCCCTTTCTCTCTCTCTCTCAAAAAAAAGAGATCAGAAAAGGAACTTGAAATTTACCTTCACAGGAGAGATGCAGACAGGAGAAGCTCCAGGCAGAGCTGTTTGAAGTGGGGAACGTTTATCTGTGGCCTGCTGCCTCCCTTCTTCTTCCTCGCTATGTCTGATCAACCTGTCCATGTTCAAGTGTCAGTAAGATGTTTTAGTGTGCAGTGGAGGTCTGTCTTAAGTCAAAGGTACACATCCCTAAGGGTAAAATAGTAGTCATGAGGGAGTTGGCCAGGAACAGTATGACAGTTCAGAGAAGACTTTCCTGGGGCTATGACTTAGGAGGTGGTAAAGGCAGTATCCTGTGAAGAGAAGGTACAGCCTCTGAAGTTAAATGGTTCTGAGTTCAAGTCTGGTTTCCAATCCTTCTAGGCTGTGTGACCTTAGGCAAGCATATAATCTCTCTGATGCTTAGTTCCTCCTCCTTAAAAGGAGATGATGAGGCTTCCCTCACAGGGTCACAGGGAGGAGGGCTGGAGGCAGTAACACATACCAAGGGCCCAGCTGTGCCAAGACAAAACAGACAGCTAATTGAAGTTCATCCCCAAAGTTCGCTCAGACTTGCTTCTGCTCCAGAAGCCCCGAAGAGGTTTCATTTCCCAGCCCCCCTTGTATTCTCCAGTGGTGTTTTGCAGTACTAAGAACGAGGTGTGCCTTCTCTCCCTTCCCTAGTTCAGACTGTCAGGGAGGAAAGCATCTCCAAGAGCACCATTAGACAGGAGGCAACGCCATGGGCAGGTGGGAGTCCACGTGTGGTCATGGGGCCACAGTCCTTCCCCATCCGCCTGTTTAAGTTCGGCCCCCTGCTCAGGGAGAAAACCCATTCCTACGCACGCACGGAGCAGGACAGGCAGCAGCAGGGGCGTAGACCCCAGCAACAGGTACCCTGACAGTGGTGAATGGCATTGCATGAATAACAGATGAAGCCTCCGTAACTGGTGTTATTACACATGCATTTCATCTCCATTCATGACGATTGGACACTTAAACCTAGCTGCTCCTCTGCCCGGTGCCGCTGTCATCATTGTACCCGAGATCCTAGCAGCTATCTGGATCAGCCACTGCCACACTCCAGTCGCAGTGGGTGCCGTTTATTTTTTGTTGGAGCTCAGTGTCCCAGGAAATGCCAGTTGTCGGGAAGGGGAGGGGTGGTTATTCTGGGCAGACCCTCCCCCTCCCCGGTCTCCTGCCATGGAACAGGGTACCTTCTTTCAGACACTTCTGTCCGGGCATTTGGCTGGGACATTCTAAGCTGTGTGAGGTAGTGGAGAGGGGCTGGGACGTGGGGCTTGAGGGAGGTGGGTCATGGCTGGAGTTCTGAGACTCAGCTGGCAGAAAGAGACCCAGAGTCATTCCTTCCAGGCCCTCTGGGCCTATCCCTAACACAGTGGACCTCAAAACTTAACACGCATCAGAATTACCTGGAAGGTTTGTTAAAGCAGATCGCTGGGCCCTACCCACGGAGTTTCTCCTTCAGTAGGTTTATGTGGGGTTCAAGAATTTGCATTTCTAACTAGTTCCCAAGCGATGCTGCTGCTGCTCGTCCGGAACCTCGCTTTGAGGACCATTGCCCTTAAAGCCTCGTTACTCCAAGTGCAGTCCGTGGACCAGCAGCCTCTCCTGAGAGTTTGTTAGAAATGCAGAATCACAGGCCCTACCCTGGACCTCCTGAATCAGCATCGCATTTGAACAAGATTCCTAGATGATATGTATATACCCATTACAGTTTGAGAAGCTTTAAGGAATGACTGGACTACAGGGGCTCAGAGCTCGGTAGTAGGCGGGCCAGAGTAGGCAGTGGGCGGAGCTAGGCAGTGGGCGGAGCTAGGTAGTGGGCGGGCCAGAGTAGGCAGTGGGCGGGGCCAGAGTAGGCAATAGTATTCTTTCCCGCCCAGTTGCCTCCAGCCAGAAGCAGCCTCTATTTTCTGCGCACGGTGACAAAGTTTGGGCAGTATTGCCATAAAACACCCAAGCAGATGGATAAAGACCCTCTGAGGAGGGAGTTACAGCCCATGACTACCTTAATCCCACCCCTCACCATCTAACAACCACCTGGTGACCCATGCCCTCACCCTCCACAACCAGGAGGGCGCCCTTCCATACCTGACAACCTCCCCGCTGTCCTCCTCGCCCACAGGTGGTGGCCTTCGCCTCTCTCTTCTTCATCCTGGTCTCCATCACCACCTTCTGCCTCGAGACGCATGAGGCCTTCAACATTGACCGCAACGTGACCGAGATCCACCGGGTGGGCAACACTACCAGCGTGCACTTCCGGCGGGAGGTGGAGACAGAGCCCATCCTGACCTACATCGAGGGCGTGTGCGTGCTGTGGTTTACCCTGGAGTTCCTGGTACGCATCGTGTGCTGCCCGGACACTCTAGACTTTGTCAAGAACCTGCTCAACATCATCGACTTCGTGGCCATTCTGCCCTTCTACCTGGAGGTGGGGCTGAGCGGCCTGTCCTCCAAGGCGGCCCGAGACGTGCTGGGCTTCCTGCGCGTGGTGCGCTTCGTGCGCATCCTGCGCATCTTCAAGCTCACGCGCCACTTCGTGGGGCTGCGCGTGCTGGGCCACACCCTGCGCGCCAGCACCAACGAGTTCCTGCTGCTCATCATCTTCCTGGCCCTGGGCGTGCTCATCTTCGCCACCATGATCTACTACGCCGAGCGCATTGGCGCCAGGCCCTCCGACCCACGGGGCAACGACCACACCGACTTTAAGAACATCCCCATCGGCTTCTGGTGGGCGGTGGTCACCATGACGACGCTGGGCTATGGGGACATGTACCCCAAGACGTGGTCAGGCATGCTGGTGGGGGCGCTGTGTGCGCTGGCTGGCGTGCTCACCATCGCCATGCCCGTGCCGGTCATTGTCAACAACTTCGGAATGTACTACTCCCTGGCCATGGCCAAGCAGAAGCTGCCGAAGAAAAGAAAGAAGCACGTGCCCCGGCCACCCCAGCTGGAGTCACCCATTTACTGCAAGTCTGAGGAGACCTCGCCCCGGGACAGCACCTACAGTGATGCCAGCCCTCCTGCCCCAGAAGAGGGTATGGTTGAGAGGAAACGGGCAGGTGAGATTGGGGGTTGGGAAGGAGAGCCACCTCTCCCCCAGTGGCAGAGGGAGTCACCAGATGAACCTCAGCCCTTGGGATTTGGGATTGTGTTTTATTGTTCTGGGCTTCCCTAAGTATAAGATGTGCCTTTAAAAGCAGAAAATATTGAGGCCAGATCTCTCTACCTTCTGGTTTTCCAATAGCTTTCTGAACATTAGGGTCTGTGGAGTGAGTTTACCACCCAATTTAGGTGGCAGTGGGCAGTGCACAGGGCTGTGAATTCAGATACCACCTTGGCCACAGGGCTGTGTGATCTGAGGCCATCACTAACCATCTCTGATCATAGGTTTTTTACCTGTAAAATGGGAGTCATCTCCCACTCCCCAAGACTTTGATGAGACCCAAAGGAAGAAGCGACATGAGAGTACTTTGGGAAGTAAAAGCCACTTCACAAGTGTTTGGCACTGTCGTTGTTAGCTAGAGAGCAGGGCAGCTGTTTTGCAAGGTGCATCCACACGTGAATCATTTCTTTCCAAACGTTGGAGTCTGATGTCTCTTGGCCTAATAAATGTGATAACGTAACAGCAGTGGGAGGCTGCCTTCTGTTCAGCACAAGCTAGATTGAGTCCTGGGCTCAGGGTGTAACATGGGTTGGGAGGGAGCCAAGAGGGAGTGGCCCAAACAGTGTCGGGCAGGGGAAAAGCAGGGCTGGAAGAAATGGCATCTACATCCGGGAGGGTGAGGGCCTCCGGGTCTGGATCCTGTTCTTCAAGGATAGGAAGGGCCAGCCCTGGAAAGCTTGCTTCCACCTGCGTCAAGAGCTGGGAAAGGCAATTGGCTTAACCCACAGAAACAGAGTGAGGCTGGAGAGCTGGAGCTGAGTGTTATGGGATGGGTTCCTGAGGGTGGTCCCGGATTTCTAGTAAGGGGAGCCCTTGGCTGCCAGGCCATCAGGAGGCTGGGGGTGGGCCCGGAGAGAAAGATAGCAGCTTTTGGCCAAACTCCAGGGGGCAAAGTGGGACTGATCCTCCAGAGGGGTGCCCGACTCGAGCACTCACCTGTGGCCTGTGCAGGGGTGCCCAAAGTACATGCTGGGGGTACTCACTCCCTGGAGTCATTTGGGAGCCTTGATGGGTCAACCCCCCTCAGGTTCCCCTCTGTTCCCCCACCAGAGTGGTGCCCCCTTCCCCCATCCCTGAATGCAAATCTCCCAGCCAGTGCCTCAGGGAATTTCAGCTGCACCCCGAGGCCCATTCAGAGTTCAGAGGGAAACCTAATATCAAAGTGTATGAGTCCCTGCACCAGCTCCTGGATGCACACTTACCCACGGCCGCCGTCAGCTGCACCTCAGCCTGGCCCTAACTGCTTGGCCATGGTCAGGGCTGAGGCGGCTGCCTTCAGACCCAGCCTCCCTGGAACCAAGGCCCCACTGTGCTGCTGCCTGACGGAGGCAGGGCCTGGGGCTAAGAGCCAAAAGCAGTGGGAGCTGACAGGAGCCTTCTCTGTGCAGGGTCTTCCCTGGACAGGCGAGCCCCAAGCAGAGGGCTCCAGATCCTTCCAGTGGGCTCTTGACTCTGCCTTAGATGCCTGGTGAGCAAGATTAGCTGCCTACAGGGGATCCAGAGAGGTAGCCTGGAGGCCGCTTTATTGGTTTAACCCTGGCAGCGCCAGCCCTCATCCCAGCAAGCCAGGCGTCCTCTGAGGGAATGCAGACTCATCCGAGTGTCAGCCTGAGCCAGACCCGAGGAGGAGGCCGCGTCGCCGCCTGCCTCAGGCTAATCTCCTGGGACAGCCTGCAGTAGACAGATTTCCAAAAGCCCCCACTCAGGGTATCCGTGGCTCCATGTCCCAGGAAAGAGTGTAGGCCAGAGCTGAGAGAGAAGCAGGGTGTCTTGCCCCCTGCCCTCAGGACCAGGCCCGCTTCTTGGCCCTCCTGGGGAGATGCCAGGTGCCCTCAGGGGAGGGAAGTGACACTCTAGGGCGGGGATCGGAGAGCCCCCAGGTGAGCCCATGAGGAAGGCCCGGACAGCCCCTCATGCAGCCTCCTTTCTGTCTGCCCCCTTTAGACTCCAAACAGAACGGCGATGCCAATGCGGTGCTGTCAGATGAGGAGGGAGCTGGCCTCACCCAGCCCCTGGCCTCTGCCCCCACCCCTGAGGAGCGCCGGGCCCTGCGACGCTCTGGTCCCCGAGACAAAAACAAGAAGGCAGCGGCCTGCTTCCTGCTCAGCGCCGGGGACTATGCCTGTGCCGATGGTAGTGTCCGGAAAGGTATGGGTCCCCAGGCCGGGCAGGCGGAGAGCCCCCATGGAGCTGAGTCTCCCCAGTGTCCCCTGCAAAACTTGAGGTCCCCTCCTCCCCTGAGGCCTTGGCCACCATCTCCTCTGCCTTGGACGTGCCCCCGCTTTTAAGATGAGTACCCTCATCGCCCACTCCCTGGATTAGAAAGAGGTACACAGAGCCGAGCAGCAGCCCTCGTCCCCCAGATGCCCACAGGGAAGACTAAGTGCTAGAGGCCAAGGGCTTGCCAAGTTAGCAGCCCCTGCATTTCTCCTCCATTTGATCACCACCTCTTCCTCTGGTTCCTGCTGCGGCCTTGAGGCCTGGCCTCACAGGGTCACTGCCAGACTTTCCCCAGACCTCCCTTAAACACAGCTAAGGTTTCCCAAGTCAGTAGTCCCCGAGAGATACCCACAGCATTTGGGAGTCGGGGTAAGAATGGGCTGCTGGCGTGATGTCTTCAGAGAGCCTAACACAAGCCCTACCTCCTCCTTCCTGCACTTGGGGTCCAGGAGCCCGGGAGGGGCCAGCCCAGCTCTGCGCGCCTCTTGAGGCAGAGCCTAGAAGGTGACCAGGGGGTGGGGATGGGGGTGGGGCCGGGTAGGGACTCCGTGTCCCCTCTGAGTTCTGCTCTCAAGGATTTGGAGGGTTCAGGGGAGTAGCCTGTCCTCTCTTGCAAGGAAAGACCACGATTCCATTGGCAGGCCCCTAGCGACAGAGGAGCTGGGCGGAAGTGGAGCTAGGGCTCCCTTACTTGCACAAAGGGGGTCAGCGATGTTGGGGGGCGGTTGAGAGCCAGGAGTGGCTGAGAACAGGAGTCTCAAAAGCGGGTGCTCCTGCCCAGTTCCTGGTCATCTTTTTGTCGTTCTTGCCCTGTCCCTGTGACTTAACCTGCGTAAGTTCCCTACCTAGTTCCAGGCTAAACCCTGACGTCCCCCCAAAACAAAACTTGTCCCTGGGTTCTCAGGCCACTTCTTAACCAGCCCTCTTTTAACCAAATCCACACCCCCACCCCTGCAACTTCTCGCTATCCCCAACTTCCAGACCAAGTCTGGGATGAGTGAGTCAGGGTAGTGGCTGTGATGCCTCTGTCCCCCCAGGGATGTCCCCTGTCCTGCCTATCTCAGGAGGCCTGCTGGGACACCTTCCCAGCTCCTGCCCCCACCCCAGGACCTCCAGGGCACCCTGATCCTAACCAGGCCCTGAGAGGTATGTGTCCAGCTGTGCTGAGCATATGTGCTGTTGGGTGGTGATGGCAGTACTTGCCATCTGGCAGCTGGCGGGAGACGGCCTAGAGGCCCCAGTGATGGGGCTGCAGATCGAAGGTGATCAGACCGTTTATACTCACTCTTGCGTCCCTCTGGTCGCCCTGTCCTCTGTGCGCCCCAGTCCTTAGACTCTGGATGTGCCTGTCTCTCCTGCCCCCCATCACCAGCACACAGAGGCTGCTCCTGCGTCCTGGTTCAGACCCAGAGACTTGCTTCTGCTGCAGCATGCTGAGTGATGGCCCAGAATGTGGGGCGGAGGGGACCCTACCTCCCAGGGAGGACTTGAGCCGAGTGCCGAGCAGCCCTGTTTTCATGCCAGGATTGTGAGGGGCTTGGCGGAAGTGGCAGTGCAGAGGAGGCGGTGAGGACGTGAGTCAGGAGGGACCATAAGGAAGTGGGGAGCGGGCCACAGCCAGGGCGGAAGGTGCACTCGCGTGCCCGGGCTGGGGAGCGTGTATCACACCACCAGATCTCTCTGGGAGCTTGTGTGGCCCGGCTGCTCTATTTTCAAGATGCTTCCACACTGCTTCTTGGCAACAAGCATGTAGCTCAGCCAATTAGAGTGACCTTCGAGAGGGAACAGGTGGGTTGCTGGGAAACAGGCCCTGCTAAGCAAGCGTGGCAATTAGCATCGCCAAACTCCCAGGAAGTGCTCAGCAACTTTTCCCCATGCCAGACCATGCCTCACTTCTCTGCATTAGGGCTACATGTAGGACCTGGAGTAGGGCACCCAGGGCTTCTTCAGCCATGGGCAGAGACTCCCTTGTGAGCCTATAGCTGCCCAGGTGTCAGAGTGTGAACTCCCTGGGGGGATGGGGACCTGTGCTAAGCAGGGCTTCTTAAGATGGAGAAGAAAGGTGCTGGGGGCTATGGGGTCTCTGTGTAGCTGGAAGGGAACTTACCTGGGGACAGTGACAGGGCAGAGATCAGCTGTTGGGCCCTGGCATCTGTCCCCTGGAGCCCAGGTGACTTGGAAGTCAAGGAAAGTCAGAGCCTTTCCCGGCGGGCCAGACCCCTCAAGCAACCCAGGGCTGATAGCCCCGCAGGGTCCCCTGGAGCATGGAGCCCACGGAGCTGCTCAGATGGGGAGCCAGGCCCCTCTGACCCATGTGCCTTTTCTTCACCAAGGCTGTGCAAAGTCCCGGAGTCTAAACAACATAGCTGGAGCAGCTGGAACCAGTCTGGGGCTGTCTCCACTGGCATCAAGATACAGCTCACCCTACCCTCCAAGAAAGCTCCTGTTCTCCCGCCCCTTCCACCCCCTCACCAGCCCTCCACCTGGACACCCAGCCCCTTAGCTGCACCCGCGGCACTCCCCCCGCCCCCGGGTACACACCACGCTCACATGCCCTCCAGCCCTCATTCCTCTGGGGTCCTCAGGGAGCCGGGCGGGCTGCAGGAGGGTCCAGGGCCCTGAGCCTCTCCTCCACAGCACCCAGCTCCCCAGAACATTCAGCTCTGGAGCCTGAGAACAAGCCCCAGGCTTCCGCCCCATTGGTCCCCATCCTGAGCCGGAGGTGCCCCCCCCCGCACCCCCCCCCCAGGACCTGTGCCTCTGGGCCTTGCCTTCCCTCAGGGCCCCACCTCAATCACAGCAAATGCATTTCCATTCCTTGTGGCCTTCAATCAGCAGCCAGCCTGCAACTGAATATCTCTGTCTGTCTGTCTGTCCATCCCACACCCAGACCAGCCAAGAATAAGGCCGTGTCATGGGGCAGCTCTGCTGGTGTGCAGGGAGCTAACTAGTCAGGCGAGTAGTGCCACTCTGAGAGAGGAGGCCCGATGGTCCCCAGCCCTGGCCTGGCGTGCAGGTGGGGGTCCCTAGGGCCCCGCAATTGGCTGCCTAGGCGTGGGAATGCCGTCCTCTCCGGAGTGACACCCCCCCGGCCCCCCTCCCCGCCCCCCCGCGGCAGAGCCCTGCATCCCATCTGCGCCCCGGCAGCGGCAGCGATACCTCTCCACGTTGCTCTCTCTGCTTCCCTCCCTCTCTGCTCCCTCACACTCCCAGCCCTGCCTCTGAGTCACCTGCCGCTCCCACCCAGCCTCTGTGCTCTGCGTTGCTTCCAGAACCGGAGACTCATCTAATTTCTATAATTAAGTGTATTCATTTACCTAACGAGCCCAGGCGCACAACAGGTTTGTGAGTCATTGAGTGAGGAGGGGTGCGCCCTGGGCAGGGGCAGCTGAGAGGCAGTGTGGGGAAAGATGCCATCCTGCCCCTTCCAACCCGGCCGCTCCCATGCACCCACCCCCCCCGCCGCCCCGGAAGCATAGGGAGGCTCTCCAAGCCCCCTCGGCTTCAGGAACGAAGAAGGCCTTGGCCAAGCCATTTTCTGTTTCACCTGATGGAAATTAGACCGGACAGTGGAGCCGTGTGCCTGGCAATTTTTAGAGTCAGATTATGCAACTTTGTAGAGGTAATGACTAAGGTCCATATATGCTCCTTCCAGGGGGGACAAAGACAGGAACGGCAGGGCATAATTCAGGGACTTGGCAGGAGGCTGGGACATCGAGAGGTCACCCCCCAAAAGGCAAACTGGGCAGAAAGGTCAGACCATTTCAGGAGGTTGGGTGTTGTGAAAAGCCTGTGCCAGGAGCACCTCCATTTCAGTACCGTCTGTCTTCAGCCTTGGGCAGACACACAAATGTCCCTTCCAGAAAAGTCTGTTCAGGATGGGTACTGGGAGACCCCAGCCCTGTGGTGGGGCTTGTCTCCTGCTTGTTCTCAAAATGAAATCTCCGCTAAGAGTCGAGAAAATATAGCAGCATCCATGTGACCATCCTTCAAAAAGGGACAGGCCCCGTTCAGTGACTGGGGCAGGGAGCCCTGTGGAGCAGGAGGGAGACTCGGGGCACCCTCTCACAGCTGAACCTGAGAGCCCAGCTGCTTTTCCTTCGTGAGGACAGACCGGGTCCCATCCCCGCAGGGCTCCCTGGTGCTGGGGTCTCGAATCTGATGAGGCCGTGATGCACTAGGGGTCCAGTTTAGCCTGGGCACCACAGCTCTTTTCTCCTCTGACTTGCCTTTGTGGTTCAGGGGACTGAGGTGGTGGTCTCTGTGGCAGCCCTCAAGTTGTCAGGAGCCCAAGTTTCCACGGTACCCACCTCCTCCTTCCCTCTCCTCCCTCCCACAGGGATGGGCCTGCTCATAGCACCCCTCTGGTGGGCACAGATGTCCCTGGGTGACATGATGCAGGAGTGCCAAGCTGGAGCTCCTGGTGCCATGGGAGATGGGCTCCCACCTGTCCCCCCCACCCCCACCCCGCCCCAGTTCTCTGGCTTCCGTAGGGGAAACACAGGACCTAGCTAACAGGATGACCGAGTAGGCTGACCGCCCCAGCTACCTCTCAGGACCTCTGGGCCTCCCAGGGCCCTGAGAAGGGGCAAAGTAAGTCCTAGAGTTTACAGAGACCTACTGTCCGTGGGGTCCCTGCCTATGGAGGCAGCTGCCTGCATGGACCTCACGCTTGTCCAGACCTTGGGCCTCCCTCGTTAGAAGCCGGCTCTCAGACAGTTGGGGCCCACCCCCTCCCTCACAGAGCAGGGAAGCAGCCGGGTAGGAGTTGTTCACTTTACGAGTTTGTACCAGGTCTCCCGACAAACTTGGAGGCCATTTTTCAGCCCCTGGGGCTTCTGGGAAGAGCTGTGAGCTGGCACCAGAGGTGGAAGATGCCTGTTCGTTGCAGGCCGGGAGTCCGAGGGGAGACTGAGTACCTGCCCGAGGGCCGGGGCTCCCGGAGTCCCCCCACCCCTGGGGCCTGGGCTGCCCTTTCACAGAGCTTCCTGGGAGAGGAGGGCCTCTTGTGCCCTGGCCAGAGAATATCTCCCCGAATCCCTGCCCCGATAGCAGCCTCCTTTCCTGCACTGTCTGGGCCCCCGCTAGAGGGTGGGGGAAGGGACGGCCCAGGCCCCTGACATTCCAGCCTGAGGATGGGCAGCTGAGAAGGGCTCACTGAACCGTTGGGTTTCTCAGTAAGATGCTCCTTTCTGGCCTTCTCCTCTGAGATGAACACGTGCATCCTCCCTGAACTTCCCCTTCAGCATCCACCCTCCAACTGCTAGAACTCTGTTCCTGCCAGACTGAGGAACTGTGGCTGGGCATGACAGGGCAGCACTCTCAGGAGTGTCACCAGCCCCCCTGGGACAATGGAGTGGCCCCAGGTGGTGGTTGGCGGGTGGAGCTATGAGAGGGTGGGCCACCCAGGCTAGACTACAGGCCACATCGGGAATGTCCCCCACTGCCTCCATACCAGGCTGTAGGGCTATGATCCCTCTGCCCACTACACTGGGGCTTGGAAGACCTGAGGGCTCGTGATTCCTAGAGTTCACTGCCTGGGCAGGTATGGAGAGAAGCTGTAACATCACCTATGAGTCACCTGGGCCTGGCATTGGGTAGGCAGAGGTGATGACGGGGCTCACCCCAGTCGCTGACCCATCCTTGCTCTTCCTGGCCTCTTAGCCCTGGGTCCTCACACCTTCCAGCTCTGCTCCTGGCCTAGTCCTTTGCCCACAGGCTGTGGGTCCGCAGCTGGCTTCCTTCTAACATCTCATTCTTTGTTTCTCCCTTTCTTTTGCTGAACTCCTTGCCCCCCCAGAAGGCAATGTTGAGACGAAAGCGTGCGTCCCAGTGTCTCACACCTGTGCTCTTTAAACACAGAGACCTGCCAAGACGCCCTCTCGCCCAGCTATGCCCAGGCTGAAGTCCTCACCCTCTCTTAAGCGGCACCAACGTGAGAGAGGCAGGCAGACAGACAGAAAGCCAAAGGCTTAGGGAAACTCTGGAACCCTGGCAAGAATCTTTCGCTGGGAAAGACTCAGAGATCCTTGTTTGCACAGGACTGATGGAAAACCTCCCATGTGACCCTCGGGGCCCAGAGCTATCTGGGTCTGCTGTTCTGTTCTGTTGTACACTGAAGATATATATGCACATATAGTATCTATATTCATACGTGCTATACTTGTGTGTAGTGCACGTGCTATTGGTGTCTGTCTTCTCTGTTAGGCCGTGTCTCCCCGAGCCTGTGCCCCACCCCCGTGTCCCCATCCCCTTCCCTTCCCTGACGCCTTGTTTCTGCTGCACATGTGTGTGGAATGTCCCAAGAAAGAGCGTCTGGGATCTGCCAGTCCCACCCGGGGTGGGGCGGGGGGAGGGTCCCAGGCTAGACTTGCCCTCTTGGGGTCATTTCCCCTGTGGCCGGTGGTCTGTGGAAAGCCCGGTTGCCCCCCGGGGTCACTGCTCCACTAGCCTCACCCCACTCCAGATTGGGGTTCTACCTCCCACCCCACACCCCAGTTTTGGGGGACTTCCAGGGGCTCCTCTGAGGCTTCTTCCCCACTCCTCCACCTTACCCGTGTCCTGGACCCAGGGGGCATTTTGTCTTTTTTTTATTTTGGGGTTTTTGTTCTGTCTCCTCCGTCCATTTGTTTTCAAAGATGCTGCTGGGCAGACGGGCAGGGAAGGGGTCTGTCTGCCCATCTGGCTCAGGGGTCTGAGAAGGGGAAGCCTCGGGCAAGCGGAGACCAGTTGCAATACTGTACTTCCTGGCCAGTGGCCAGAGGACGCGTGCAATAGCGGAGGCCGGGTGACCCCTTCAACCTTGGCCTCTGCCCCTCCCGCGGCCCTCCTGCCCCACTCCCCCCCCGCCCTGCCCCTCCCCGGTGTTGGTCAATCCTTTTGTAAAGCTGTCCCCCCGTGTATGTGTGCGTGTGCGTGTGCGTGTGCGTGTGTGTGTGTGTGTTGTGTGTGTGTCTGAGGCATGCCTAGGCTGGGCCCTGCCGCCCTGTCTGCGCGCCTTCCACTGTCGTGCTGTGTTCGAGCCCCAATAAAGACACCCGGAGCATCCTGCTGCTCCTGCCTCGAGTGACTGCCTCCGCCTCTCCTTTCTGCCTCTGTGTCTTTGGGGACCTCCCCGGGCTTCCACCCCAGCACCTGAGAAATGCAACACACTGCGATCACAGCCCTGGCCCTGCCAGGAATCACCGATGCCTCCCCACCCCTGCATTTAGAGTGAGGCGCTGATGCTCAGAGAAGGAAAGGATTGCCCAGGGCCATGAAGGAGGGCTGACCCGGGGCCACCAGCTCCCAGGCGGTGTTCTGGTCTCCACTGAGCCCCTCCGTCACACAGAAGAGATGTGTTTTGAGGGCATTCCCCTGTATTCCTGCTTGCTTGTGCAGGAACCCCCACTCCTCCACCTTCCCTGAAGTGCACCGGTGCTATGTGGGCCAACGCCCTGAGGATGCCAGAGTCATTGCGATGACTGGATGGCTGACAAACTGAGGCCAGCAAGGGACTGGTGGCACATCCGGGACCACTTAGCGATGGGGAATAAATGAATCCTGGGTGAATGATGGGGACGCATGGCCCCTCACTGTTGTCAGTCACATGGAGACACACACAGGGCTGGCCCCCAGGTGTGTGGCCTCGTGTGGTCGTTCAAAATGCCCCCACGCCTTTGTGCTCCACTGTCACCATCGAGAAATGACTGAAGAAGGGGCCCTGTGTGTTCATTTTTTTTTTAATGTTTTATTTATTTCTAGGAGAGAGAGAGAGACAGCGTGAGCAGGGGAGGGTCAGAGAGAGAGGGAGTCACAGACTGAAACAGACTCCAGGCTCTGAGCTGGCAGTCAGCACAGAGTCCGACTCGGGGCTCGAACCCACGAACCACGAGATCATGACCTAAGGGAAAGTCAGACACTCAACCGACTAAGCCACCCAGGCGCCCCTCTGTGTGTTCATTTTTGCACCGGGCTCTGTAAACCATGCAGCCAGCTCTGGGCACGCGTTTCACCCTCTGGCTCCAGGCAGAAACTGGAGTTGCAGGGCCTCAGTTCAAAGTCCGGATCTGCTACTTACTAGCTGGGTGACTTGGGGAGAGCTCACCCAACCTCAGTTTTCCATTCTGTAGAACAGGGATCACAACAGCACCGATTTCAGAGGCCGTGAGAGTAAAGACCTGGCCCAGCGCCCTAGGTGTGCATGTGACGGAGAGAAGATGCACACAGCAAGCGTTAGTTCCCTCCTCACCCCTTTCTGGAGCTCACAGGCTTTTCTCCACAGCCTGCTGGGCTCCCCGTGTTCAGTCACACCCAGAAAGGACAAGAGCACACCAGGGAGCAGGGGGCGAGGAAGGCAGAGCCGAGGGGAAGCCTGCTCTCGAGACACCAGAGAAAATCAGGCTGGGAGCCTGAGCCGGCTGAGGCAAAGCAATGGCAGGCTGCCAGTTGTCAATTAAAGATGAGATCTCCTCCGGCCGTGGAGGGCGAGTAAGGGCTGTGCCCCCACTCCCCCCTTCCAGACCGGAGAAAGCCATTTGCAGCCAGGCTGCCTCAGAGAAGCTTGGCAGGGCGATAATGGGCTGGGATATACTGCTGGCTCCGTAACGATGTTACGCGTCAAGGCCCACGTCCAGCATGGCGGGTTTTGGGTTTTGTTTGTCGTAGATGAGTGTGGAGCCATGTCACGGTCAGGGGCCAAGAACCAGCAAACAGCCCAGGGGTGCCAGATGCCAGGATGGCCCTCAGGGGACCCAAGGAGATGCAGCTGGGTCCCCGGGTGTGGTGCGGACTTTTCTGGAGGGGAGAGGGGCAGAGTTCAGTGGGAGAACAGCCCGCCCCTCCGCTGACCTCACCCACCCTCCGCCCACCTCACGGAACAGCGGGCAGTGATGTCAGGAAAGGAAGGCTGTGGCTTCCTCAAAAGGCAGGGACTGAGCCTAAACGAGGGGGCTGGTTTAAAAAAACAGGACACTGGTGTCCAAGACTGACTTTGGGAGTCAGACACACTCAGGCTCAGCTTGGAGTCCTGGCTCCCATGACTTCCTAGCTCTGTGGCCCGGGGCAACTTACTTAACCTACTTAACCTGTGTGAACCTTTATTTCCTCATCTGTTGAATGGGAGTGATGATAGTACCTATCTCGTGGAGCTGGTGGGAGAACCCAGTGAGCAGTGCCTATAAAACCCGGGCACCGTGCCCAGCACATAATCATTGCTTACACGTATCGGGGGAGGAGGAGCGTTTCAAAGCAACTCCCCCCAATGACCCACCCCAGTTTGGTTTCTGGTCCCCCTTTTCTTTTTTTTTTTTTAATTTTTTTTTAATGTTTTATTTATTTCTAGGAGAGAGAGAGAGACAGCGTGAGCAGGGGAGGGTCAGAGAGAGAGGGAGTCACAGACNTTGGTTTCTGGTCCCCCTTTTCTTTTTTTTTTTTTAATTTTTTTTTAATGTTTTATTTATTTCTAGGAGAGAGAGAGAGACAGCGTGAGCAGGTGAGGGTCAGAGAGAGAGGGAGTCACAGACTCTGAAACAGTTTCCAGGCTCTGAGCTGGCAATCAGCACAGAGCCCGACGCGGGGCTCGAACCCACGAACCGCGAGATCATGACCTAAGCGAAAGTCGGACACTTAACCGACTAAGCCACCCAGGCGCCCCTCTGGTCCCCCTTTTCAAATAAGTGCTATGAGTTAGCCTCATTTCGGTAAAGCCCTTATCTCCCTGTGAAGCAGGCACAGTGGGGGGATCCTAATGCCAAACAGCTAACATTCGTTGAGTGCTGGGCAATACAGCTAATGCTCTTAAAAACTCATTTCGAGATTGGTGTCATCATTATTCTTGTTTCCCAGAGAAAAACTGCAGGACAGCCATGTTGGGTCACACTGCCAAAAAGTGGCCAAGCTGGGATTTGAACCCAAGTAGTCTGGCTCCGTGAGTCCAATGCATTCCTGCTTTTTAAATGGAATGGGGCTTCTAAGTCATCAGCCCCAGGGTAGGGATTTGTGCTTTTAATGTTTTTCATTTCAGTCACCTCGATGGGAATTGAAGGAGTGATCTGGTGGTGCCTGACCCCCTCCCCCACCACACACTGGAAAGGGTACGTTGTTAATCAGCATAACATCCAACTCACGGAATCCTTGATTCTTTCCTCTGAGTTTTATTGTCTGAAGGAAGTGACAGGGATGGTGACCGCTCTGGAGACCAAGTTACAGCAGGTGTGGCTCAGCCTGGAGAAGAAATGGGACCCCCATCTTCAGTATTTGAAGGGCATCTGAGGGAAGGGGCTTTAGCTTATTTTCTGATCCCAGAGAGCAGACCTGGTGTGGACCAGTAGGTGGAAATGTTAGGAGGACAGATGGGGGTCAAATAAAGAAGAACCTGACTTCAGTTTCCCTGCCGTCACAAATTCCCCACACGATATTGAACACATCCCATAGCAAATCATTATCAGCCTCCCTCAGTCCTACGCTCTTCCCTGGAGGCAACACTATTAACGTCTAGTGTTGGGTCCTTCCAAGCCTTTGGTAAAAGACCTTTCTGACAGAACTGCCAAATAGGAATGGCCGCCCTGTGGGTACGAGGTTCGCGTCCCTGGAAACGTCTGGAGAGAAATTGGGTGGTTACGTGCCAGGGTTTGTGGGAAGAATTTCCGCTCTGCAGGGAAGGTTGAAGCAGAAGACTTCTTCCAGTTCTCACACGTTGTGATTGACGGTGGGGGGGGGGGGGGGGGGGGGGGGCATGCAGCTACTTAGCAGTCGAGGCAGGTCTGGAGCCCAGGTCTTCCTAACAAGACCCAGATAAGCTTTCCCAGCATGATTTTCCTCAAAGTCCTTCACTCTGGAGGGGAACTCCAGGCAAGACTCCCTGTCTGCCTCTTTCCAGCCAATCCTGGGTGTGTGCCAGGGCTGAGGCTGGCATCTGTGGTGCATCGGGTCCAATGACTCGGTTGATACCCTGCGCTTGGGTTGATACCCTGCAATGTGTGGTCAGCACCCGCCTCTAGAGCCTTCCAGGGCCCCGACACCATTAGCACCATGGGCACCTGCCTTCATTGCCTGGCTCGAGGCCTTCGGGGATCGACACGACAGGTGTCGCATGGGCTGGTCCAGTCACCTGGGACGGTGGTCACCACATCTAAGCCCTAGACAGCATGGGTTGCTCTAGGGGCCACAGGGCTGCCAGGGACGCTGGGACCAGCTCTCTCCCAGGGCACCTCAGCCAGGTGGGACCATAGCATCACAGTCATCATAGCTGTGGCTCCGGGCCTGAGGGGTCAGAGGCCTTCTGCTGTTGGTGCTGGAAGCTTCTCCATTCCTCACAGGGCTGAGGGGCCACTCTGTGCCCCTACCTCTACCCCCACCCCCAGTTACCATATTTACCTGTCTGTAGGGCAATTCCGTAAGAGTCTTCCAGAGCTGCCGGGCTCTGCTCTTTGCTAAGTTAGGCTCCCTGCCTCGTAAACCAGCAATTGCTGGTGTAGGGGAGGAGGGGTGGCCCGAGGAGGTCCCTGCCTTTCTCTCTCTACACCCTCCTCCCTAGGTGATCTCATCCGCTCCTATAGTCCTAACTCCCTCCGGGAGCTGGTGCCAGCCACATTTGTGGGTCCAGTCCAGAACTCTCCACTCAACTCCATTCACTCATTCAACAAACATACTTTGAACCTTTTCTCTATTCCAGGCACTCCTTTCCAGATTGGAGGTCCATCAGTGACCAGAGAGTACAACCCCCTCCCCTGCCCGCTCTCCACACCCACTCACCCTGCCTGCCCAGCCCCTTGAAAGCGCCTCCCCGCTCTCCTGACATTGGACTCTGACTTCACGGCTCTCCCTCCCCATCCTCCTCTCCCCCTCCATGTGCTACCCCCATCTACCCCTGAGGCTGAGATAAAAACCAGGGTATCATCATTAACCCCTCTCTCTCACACCTTAATTCACCCACTCCCTCACTCGTCCCCTCACATTAAATCTTTACCAAATGCCCACATTGCATCCTGGGGAACCAACAGTGAACCAGGTCGGCATACACCTGCCCTCGCAGAGCTTACGTTCTAGTGGGGGAGCT